GGGGGGGGGGGGGGGGGGGGGGGGGGTGGGAAAGGTGGCATAGAATGGCTCAATGATTTGTTGCTCAATTCGGAGCACCGATGCTAAGGTTCTACTCTCTGTCGGAGTAAGCCTACTCCGCGTGATCCTGGCGACTCACCTGTACTTCCATTGCTATCTGGTATATTCGTCCAGTGCGACAAGCCAGCAGAGCGAGTCTAACCGGTAATGGTAAGGGCTCTTAGAAAGAAAAAAGAATGGAGCAAATGGAGTCAAATGAATCTAAAGGGCAATTTATTCCAATGGCTGATGCTAAACAGCAATCATTTTTATTTTATTGCTTTTCTGCTAAATATTTTGAAACTATCAACAAATGATGAAAACCAATAAATATTGTGCTGTTAAAATTTAAATTTTCGAGTCTTGTAACGAAAATTTTTGTTGAGGATTCTGGTGGTATGATTTTACACGGCATTGATCTGGGTTTCTGGACTTCGATTCGGATGATCACTGACTTTTGCCTGGTTTTTTTTAGTATTGCTAAAATTTTAGGAGAAATATTTGTTTTCTTTGGGAGAAATATCTTAAAAACCTGCTTGTAATGAAAAGGTGAAAAAATTTGTAGAGAATAAAATCAAAAATAAAAATATTGTGAAATTTGATTTGATAAATTGATAAAATCGATTCCTTTTGGCAAGCGGCGTCCATCCATAATCCATTCTATCGCATAGTTGAATAGGAGAACGGACGGACAACCCGGCGGGACATTAATTTTTATTCGAAAAAGATTTCCGTCAATTGCGCCTACCGCACGAAGATTTTTGCCGACGTACGCTGGCAAAATGATGCCCTTTATGCGTCGAATGATCTTCTTCGCAATAATTTTAGAAAATCAATTATTTTAAAAAATAAAATATCTAAATTTGTTTAATCGTTTTGGTAGAATTTTCAGTACTGTTAAAACCATTAACCTATAGTGGATTTTCTTTTGCTTTATTTTATTTCAATAAACAAATTTTTTCTTTTTTTTTGATTTTTAACTTAATGCTTCTTATTCTTTCCGAATTTACAATGATTGTCGTATAACGTAAAAAACGATTTTTTATAGTTTATTTTTTATAAATTTTTATTATTATTATAATGTATATTTTTTATATATTTTTTTATTTTATATATTTGTATACTATTTATATATTTATATATAATTTACATTCTTTATGCACAATAAATATTCACTAATCTTTGATTGATTCCTTAATTTTCAACGGATATTTAAAAAAATAAAATATGAAGTATAAAATATAAAATATGAAGGATAGTTGTTTTATAACAAAAAAAAAAAAAAATTGAACGAATTTCTTATTCTTTCATAGATTTCTAATATTATCTAATATTATCATTGAAACTTTTGGTGAATATTATTTACTCGTAAATTATGTCGGGAGTTTTTATTATGAATTTTATCATTATAGAAAGAAGTTTTATGCTTTGAATATTCTTGTATAAATTTTTTTATATAAGTAGTGCTTAATATTAAATGAAATTGTTCAGGATTTTTTAGTACGAATTTCTTTGTACATTAAAAGAATTTTTTAGATTTGCATAATGTTGCCCGTTAGAATATTAAAAGATGATGCGCAAGAAGAGCGTGGTGAAACCGCTCGAATGTCATCATTTATTGGTGCTATTGCTATTGGTGATCTTGTTAAAACAACGCTTGGGCCTAAAGGAATGGTTTGTTCTTTGTACTGTTTCACAATTGATGAATATAGTTAATAGCGATTATTGATATTTCATTTTTTGTTTTTATACGCATCGAGCTTAAGATCTTTTATTTATATTATTTATTTGTATTTATTTGTATCATTTATTTACATTTATTTTTATCATAAATTTATACTACTGCTGCGTCGAATCTTTTAGCTCTATTTTTTTCTGCAAAAGAATGAGTTTAGATTCAGGGCGCAGGTTCAATAGATGAATAAACCATAGGTTTAAATCTTGTGAACACTTCTGTTTATTTTGTTTACTAGTATTTTTCAGGATAAAATACTTATAAGTGGTGATGGTGAAAATCAAAAAATTAATGTTACGAATGATGGCGCAACTATCCTAAAATCAGTTGGAGTGGATAATCCAGCTGCAAAAGTTCTTGTCGGTTTGTTAATTTTTTCAGATAACCTTTTAATATTTTACGTAAATATTTGCCATTTAAATTTATTTATTTAAAAAGCAGCGGATGCTTTCTACTTATTTGAATAAAAATATAAAAATTTTCGGCATGTTACCTGTTAAGAATTCACTCGAAAGTGCAAGTGGAGAGTTTATTTTTTGATGTGAAAGCTTGCATTTTCGTTATTTACATTATTATTTGTTGTAAAAAGCCATATTATATATCAGTACATCTTATATATTTTCAGAAATTTCGATGATACAAGATAGTGAAGTTGGTGATGGCACGACATCCGTTGCTGTTTTAGCTGCTGAACTTCTTAGAGAAGCTGAAAGATTGATTGAGATGCGTATTCATCCTCAAACTATCATAGCTGGGTATAGAAAGGCGCTAAAAATAGCGCAAGAAGCATTAGTTTCCTCAGCAACACTCTCGTATTTTAATTTTTCTGTTGATTTTCATTTTTTATTCTGAATTAAATTTGGAAAAATTAGTGCTATAGAAAACATTTTTGATTAGTAAATCCATAAAACGAAAGTGAATTTTTCAGTGATAATCTTCATGAAGATTTAACCAAGATTGCCCGCACAACGCTTGGTTCTAAAATACTTGCGCAATATAAAGATTATTTCTCTAAATTGGCTGTTGATGCGGTTTTGCGATTGAAAGGGTCCGGTACTTTAGAAGCAATTCAAATCATCAAAAAGCTTGGCGGTTCAATGAGTGATAGTTATTTAGATTCAGGTTTGTTTCACAATTTAATTTTACCTGTATGAAGAAATGAAAAATTCAGCTAACTTGGTTCTTTCTTTTTTTGTATTTATTTTCTAATAGGTTTCTTGTTGGAAAAAGCACCTGGAATGTATCAACCAAAACGAGTAGAAAATGCGAAAATACTTATTGCAAATACTCCTATGGATACTGACAAGGTGATTTAGATTTTTTTGTTCTTATTTTTCTATATTCTTTTCTATTGGGATAGTAGTTTTATATTTTTTTTTTTTGTTTTGCGAAACATAACAAATTCTTTTCTAATATAAAGAAATAATATTTTTTGCCTCATTCTGCGGATTTTTTTATAATTCAGGTGAAAGTTTTTGGATCTAGAGTACAAGTTGATTCCGTTGCCAAAGTTGCTGAATTAGAATTAGCTGAAAAGCAAAAAATGAAAGAAAAGGTAGGCAACAAGTATTGTAGGGAAATGAGAATCAAATCCAGTATGATTTTTTTCACTGTTTTCGAATTCTCATTTAAACATTCTCAATTTGCTTTCAATTTCTTATTTTATTTTTTTGTTTATATTTTATAATATTCAATATTAAAAAGGTTGCAAAAATAGTGGCTCACAATATTAATGTATTTATCAACCGTCAACTCATTTACAATTATCCTGAACAGTTATTTGCGGATGCAAATATAATGGCTATAGAACATGCGGATTTTGAAGGAATTGAGCGTCTTGCACTTGTACTTGGTTTGCTTTTAAATTTTTTTAGAATTAAGGTGATTTAAATCTTTTATCCGTATTAAACGTATATATATATATTTTATAGGCGGTGAGATTGTATCAACATTCGATATGCCAGAAAACGTCAAACTTGGGTCATGTGATTTAATTGAAGAAGTTATGGTTGCTGAAGATCGATTTTTGCGTTTTTCTGGTGTACCAATTGGTTTGTTCAAATTTCATGTTTAGATACTTGCTGTTTAAAACTCTTGATGTTCAATCTTTTTTTCTCAATCATACTTTTACACTGTATTTTATAATTAACATTGAATCTTTAAAGCTATTATATATTTTATTCTTATTTTGATACAATTTGTAACTAAATTTTTAGGAGAAGCTTGTACGATTGTGTTGCGAGGTGCCACAGAACAGATATTGGATGAAGCTGAACGTTCTTTGCATGATGCCCTTTGTGTTTTGGTCACTCATGTGAAAGAAGCTAAAATTATTGCTGGGGCTGGAGCTGCGGAGATCTTGATGAGCAATGCAGTTATGGTGGAAGGTCAGAAGGTAAATGAAAGAATTTTCAATTTTTATTTGGGATATAAAAATGCATTTGTTCATTTGTAAAAACTTGCATTTGTAAAAAGCAAAAACTTTATTAATTGGAAATTCTCTTCAAAAAGTGTCGCCAAAAAAATCGAATAAAGTTTTTATGAGATTTTTCTTGGCCGAATAATGGAATTTTAGAATTTCTAAAATTTTAGTGGCAAGTATTTTTATTTATAGGTCCCTGGCAAAGAATCGCTCGCCATCGAGGCGTTCGGTCGTGCTCTTGCACAGCTTCCAACAATTATTTGCGATAATGCTGGTTTGGATAGCGCTGAGATTATTTCTCACTTGCGAGCGCACCATGCTAATGGCAATCATCGGATGGGTATAGGTTAGTACTCCATATATTATGAAAATTTGTATTTGTATGCACAATTGCTATTTTTTAATGGAGATATTGTCAGTTATAAAGAATATTTACAAATTATTCTGATTATTTTTCGTAATATTATTATTAAGCTTTTTTATATGAATTTTTATTATAGATATTGATAGAGGTATACCAGCTGATGTTTTTGATCTGGGTGTTATTGAATCGTTGAATGTTAAAATGTACATGATATCAAGTGCTGCAGAGGCTGCAGAACAAGTAAATTTTTTTCATCTTGATATTCACATTTCAATTCTAATATTTCATTTGAATTTTATATGTGCAGTAATTCGACTTTAAAAAAATCTACGTTTTCAGATACTCCGGGTTGATAATATTATAAAGGCTGCTCCTCGTAAACGTGTTCGTGATCGAAGGCCTTGCTAATTCACCTTGTTCTGCTTAATTAACATCATTTTTTACGTAGATTTGAGTCGTCGACTTTCTCATAATATTCAATGATCTTTGTTGCATTTTTTAAAGTTGAGAACCCCTCTAACCCTTTCTTCTGGAAAGACTCTTTTATAAAAATATTAGTTTATTGTTATTCAATATCATTTATTTTGTTGCAAAATATGCTTAATTTGTTATAATTGAATTATAAAAATAGCTTTGGCAGATGCTATTGTCTGCACCTTAAATTGCTTTAAAAGAGAAGATTTTATCAAGAATTTTTTTCACCTATATCTTTTTTTAGCAATTAATCCCTTAAAAGATTCCTGGATTGGTTGGCCAAATTATAAGTAGGAAGCATTTAAAACAGAAAATTCATCATATTCGTTCCAATTTATCCTAATTTGATTTTTATAAAAGAATAACACATTTTTACATTATAATTTCGTTAAAGGTTAAAAGTTTTTACAATTTCGAAGAGATTGTCGATGGAGCTTAATTGACGAAGATGATCTTTGAAAAATGGATGTCTGATTTCTCGGCTGCCTATATTAATATAAATGCAAATTGTAATCTGTCGAAAGGTTAATGCCAAAAATAGTGCGTGTAAAATATTTAATACTCGTGTAAATAATAAATTACTAAAAATAATTCATGCGATAATAATGATGCGACATTGCATTAATTTATGCTGATGATTTATAGACATTTAACTAGTTCAGTTCATCATTTCATGGTTGAATAATTTTTTGCCGAATAGCTTCAAAAAGAAATAAAATTGTGGAATCGTTCGACTTATTAGAGCAAATAATTAGGTATTAGGTGCGACATAACGACTGATCATTTCTAGGTTAAAGCACTCTTCTATTTCAACGTTAGAAATTTTCACCAGATGGTACTTTGGTACTTCTTTGTCGATAAAATAAATGCAAGAGGGGTTATCAATACGAATCATCATCAGATTTATACTGGCGTCTTCTTCGTTGCTAGTGCTTAACCGATAATCGAACCGATTATATAGATTATTCGTTGTGTAATATAAAAATTATTCAAGGATTAAGCAGATTAATTGATACTGATCTATTCTCGTTTATTATCCTCCTTTGAAGCATGGAATCGATCTTATTTGGTGCATTTGTGCAGAAAAAAAACTATGAAATATGAATGGTTTGGAAAAAATACCGAATAGCATTTGCCTTAGGCTATCATCTTATTAGCCAAAAAAAGATAAGATAATTCCAAGTTTCATGCAAATCCTGCAAATTCTCTGAATATTTCATAATCAAATAAAATAATTCAACATAAATATATCACTTTTCTTATCACTATTCAAATTTAAAATCGATAATCATTATTATTTTTATTGCTTTTTTTTTCTATTGAAATAAAAATTTCAATAAATAAAATTATCCGGAAAAATAAATGATGCGTATAAATGAATTGGGAATTTGACGTAATAGAATCGAGTGGAGAAACAGAAGGCAAAGTCAGATTTAGTCGATAAGCAAAATCGATGTTTTTACGATGCCTCAGCAGTTATAAGCCTCGTATAAGCCTCGTGGAGATATGTCCACTATTGATACTATTGAAAAATGACGCCCGTCTTTTATAAATATATATTCAAAAATGAATAGCTGAAAAAGTTCGAGCTAAAGCTGAAGCCTATGGAACAACATATATCGTTTCAACAACGAATAAAAGGTTGTTGTTTTTTTTTTTCCTTTAAAAATTTTTTTTTATTGAAAATTTTAGAATAAAAAATTTTTTTATTTAATCGAAAGAGCTTAAAAAATTCGAAATTGAATGATACGAGATGATAAGATAAGAGAAGATATTGATGATAAGATAAGATCTATTGAGTTAAGAAAAGCCAATTTGAATTATCATTTTTTAACTTCGAATAGCACATATCATTCATAATTTGGCTATCTACAACGCTTATTTTTCTAGCTTTTCTAATATTTAAGCACATAAGAAAAAGAATCATTATGTATTGTTCACAAAAATCTATTTCTTTTTTTTAACTGATAATTTTTATCTTTTGTAAATTATCAACGGCTATTTGCAGAGATAAATTATCAATCTGATGATAACAATTATATTGCTTCGTTCGCAATTTGTTTTAAAAATTGTTTTAGTTAGGAATTTATTTTTTTTCTTATCATTTACTGATAAAATCAACTCATCATTAAAATCTATTTATTTCTATTCCTTTAAATAATCTGGTTTGAACATTAGGCTTGAAAAAGATTTGAAACTAAAGTATGGGCCAAGGAGATGACTATATTTCACTCATGAAATGTTCAAAGAAAACTTGACCATTCTTTTAATAGCACGAACCATTTCTGGATTATTACTATGGCATCCTTCTTTATTACTATGGCCAGAGAGTCAATCAGAAGCCAAGTTACATGTGGGTCCTCAGCACTTGATTATCTGACTCTCATTTCTGATAACATATTTATTACTATACTATTTCGGTTTAATTGAATAATCTATTAATATCTGCTTGAATAAATTCATTAATAATAGGGAGTGTTTTCTACATGGTACCATACTAGAATTAAGCTGTTACATAATAAATAATTTAATTATTTCGTCTCGCAGTGAAATCCTTAATTTTTTACCTTTCCAGCAAATATTACGTTAGAAAGTTGGAAATGATTTTGGATAGTTTTTGATAAAATGGGGTATTCATCGAGAAAATAGATAGGCTAGCTGGTCTCCTATTTCTTTCAATGTGGGTTTAGTTCAGTTATTTAAAGAAAAAAGAAGCAGTTTTATTTTTTCATTTTTTAAGAATATATTTGTATTTATAAATATTAAATTATAAAATATTTAAAATATTTTTTAAAAAAATATTTTGTTTTTAATTTCCATTTTTTTTCCATTGTTTTATTTTATTATTATTAATTATTAATAATTATTTATTTATTATCATTATTATTATTTATTATTACTATTTATTATTGTTGTTTATTATTATTTATTATTATTGATTATTATTATTTATTATTATTTATTGTTATTATTAATTATTATTATTAATATATATTTAATTATTTGCTAGCAATTTTTATTCAAAAAATTCTATTATTTTTTGGCAATGTTTCTAGCAACGTTGATAAGATCGATTGCTTATCATTTGTTCGTGATTTAAAAGATTTTAAAAGAAGTTTGAAGTGAAACAATTAAAAATTTTTGATAGAAATCGTCTGTTACGAGATTATTTTCTAAATTTTTTATTTTTATTAAATTATGAGAATTTCGATGAGTGATCTATTCATATTATTGTTTTTCGAAGAACATCACTCACCGTTCTAGGTCAGTTGATGATTAGACGAATGTCTTTCGCCGGAGGGCTCGGAAGAGTCCTCGTTGAAGTGCTTGCTGGCAAAAGAAATTCAGTTAAAAATTATGCATGAATCGTTGGCATCAAACGAACACTCTGTTTAGTAGTTTTAATACGGTGAGAAGATAGTAATCGAATCTTTGGTGTTTGATCATCTTAGCATAAGCAATCTTAATGGATGCATGTGCTGACCAGCGGTGAGTTTATGAGGCGATTCTAAATCGTCTGGAAAATTATTGGGTAAAGTTGGTGTAATGATGGCTAATCGACAAGATACATTCGCATTATTGTTTTTAATTCTTTTTCATCTTGGAATAAGCTCTACTCAAGTGAATAAATAGATTAACGAAACCTATGGAGACGATTGATAAAAACATTTGCAGAGAATGGTTTGCAGAGTTTAAGGCTTCGATATCCAAGGCAAGCCAAAAATATTCAGACTAGAGAAATTTATCACTGGTCAACTGCAAGCATTATTTGATGAACTCACGAATTTATGCTTTTCTCCTTGCTGAATACAAAAGACTGTCACTGAGGAGGGACTGGGGCAGGGGGGAGGGTGGGGAGGGGAAATGGGCTCGTTACGATAGTCATGCTATGCGCCGAAAATCATGGATTGCTTTAACCAGGAATACCAATAACGATACCACAAATTAAAACCTGGTAAAAGAATTGTTATAGTTTCCAAAGCTTAAAAGCAGCAGTGGAAGCGAAACGTACATTTATATGGCAAGGAACTCGGTAAACTATCCTTTTACATAGCAACACTCGTCTACATGCAGCAATGCTAGTCCAAGAAGCTATTTTGGATTTGTGTTGGGAAACTCTTCTCTTCAGCGTATAGCATATTTCCCAGACCTAGCCTTATCTGATTGCCATCAATGATAAAATTTATAAATTGCCATATAGATGGCTGAAGATGATAGCAAACGAAGGAAATACTTGATGATTGATTAATTAGGGCCTACATTTTATAATTATTTTTTATTTTTAATAAACGCTAGAAACTTGTCCACGTATCTTTTTCGTATGGTTTTAAATTGTTAATAGGGAATTAAGAAAAATTTTAAAAGCGACTTTCAGCAAGATAAATTATCATTGATAAACAAAAGTATCTTTGATATCTTGATATTGATATCTCTACAATGTCTCTTAGTGAATTCATGATGTAAATTCATTAAAATCCGATCTTCCACCACTTTTTATTGATAATATTATTGATAATAATAATGATGATTGATATTTTTACACAACAATATTTCAAATCCTATGATTGCGAATGAAAATCTTAGAAATTGCAAGTCTTCTAAAATGTTAAATTTTATGATTTCTATCCTTCAGAAATAGAAAAGAAATTTTTTTAAAAAAACCTTTTTCAAAAAAATTTGAATTTGAAATACACAAAGCATTTATTGTGTTCAAGTGCAAGACAACCTGTTTTCATAACATACCGCAAATCGAATAAATTCACTGAAGAAGAAGAACTGTGCAACGAATCAGCACCAGAGGTTACCAGAGGGTATCATAGGGTACCACGAACTCTAAAGAAAACTAAAAATTATTGCTTAGATTTATTAAGAAGAATTAAATAGGATTTGACTTTAATTTGCAAAATTTTACATGGTTACGCTAGAATTGTATCAAGTGAATTTCAGTTCAGTCTCAATTTGAATACAAGTAGATCGGAATGAAATTACTAAAGCCTGTTTGCAGAACTAAGTTGGGACATCCTGATTTTCATTCATACTATTAACTACTGAAATAAGTTATCTTATGATATATTTATATATATATATATATTTATCAGTAATTAAGGAATAGGTTATTTGGATTTGATTACTTGTGGGTAGTGAACGGTCATTTTCCGATTTGTCAAGGATATTGGTTATTGTCGGTTTTAAATTCATAGTCCTGAAATTCATTCTTCCAATTTTGATTTTAAATCCTCGAAAATTAATGTTGAAATATGGTGGAAATAAAAAAAATCGACACTTATTTTTATTAATTTATTAATTTAGATTAATTATATCTCCTTACTTTGAATCTAAAATTTTTATAAAATATTGGTTATTTTATTTAATTTTAATTTCTCATCGATTTTCACATTTTTTTTTTCAGTGAAAAACAAGTGCTTAAAGAAATAGAAATATAATATTTATTTTTTTCGCGATTTTTCGCTCATAATTTTTATTTAATTTATTTTATTATTTGTTATTTGGTAAATTTTAGATCTCGAATCACGCGTTCGAAAATGGAAACAAGTACGATTCGCACCTTCCATTCATATATTCGCTTCAAGATCATCGAGTATTGAACCAAGAGGTTCACCGAATTGTCGTCCAATTCCCTTAACAAACACATTAATTGCTCCACGTACTAGTCCTTTACCAAGACGCCAAATGGGTTTGATTTTTTTTTTAAATGAATTTTTTATAAGTTTTGCTTTTGTTAACGTTTTTTTGGCTTAAACTAACCAATTAAATTTAATAAATTTTTTCAAAATTCAATTTTTTTTATATTTTTATTTAAACATTTTAGTAATTTATCCTTAATGAATATCACTGTATTTGTTTGGTTAAAAAACAAAATTTTGTTTATTTTTTCAGAATTAAAAATTAAGAATAAAAAATCAATTTAAAATATTTCGAAATAAAAATAGCAAATCAATTTAATGGTTTTTATTTAAGAAAAGATAATTCGATTTGATTTATAGCTAATGGACGTTTACCTCTGCGTACTTTTCCCGATTTGCCTACGCCTATCACTGCCCATACACCAACAGTAAGAAGTGATGATGATGTGGTTAGCTAAGTTTCGATTAATTTTAAGGAATTTTTTATTGTTCATTCCTTTTTTAAGATTGCAAACTAACTATTTATTTATATATTTATATAGTAAAATTTAATAACTTAATTTAAAATTTGATAATATTTTAACTTATTTTTTTTATTATACTGATTTTTTTTTTTAGCTCAATAATAGGATAATGGAAATAAAAAGGCAATCTGGATGTATATCGATTATGGGGCAAGTTTATCATGTTAATAAAGATGCTTTGAGGAGAATTGCAGAGCTTGGCTCAGGCACATGCGGTGTGGTATATAAAGCACGATTTGATCCGACCGGAACAATAATGGCTGTTAAGGTTCAGAAAATTTCTCAGATAATAATTTTTATTCATCTTAAAAATTTGATCGGCATGAAATAATTACTGAACAAAACTTTTGCTGAAAATATGGCTAATTTGTCTTAAATGGTCAATGATAATAAAATGATAAATGAACTTTGTTTAATCGAGAATTTTTTTTCAGCAAATGGCTATTACTTCTGTTGCTGAAGAAAACAGACGTGTATTAATGGACTTAGATGTCGTTCTGCGATCGCACGACTGTCCACATATTGTTCGTTGTTACGGGTGTTTCATAACTGACGTCAGTTTTTTTTAAAATTATTTCCATAAAATTATTAATTTTCATTTCCTAAGATTTTTAATTTTAAAATTTTATGGTGTACTATTTCTTCTTTTAGTTCGAAGTCCTCATTTGTATGGAATTAATGGCTACTTGCTTGGATAAGTTGGCTAAACGAGTAAAAAGTGGGTTTCCTGAAGATATCCTTGGAAAAATGGCCGTGTCAATCATTAAAGCCCTTGACTATCTGAAAGATCATCAGGTTTCTGTGGTTTAATTTATTTGAAATTTTTTAAGCTTAAATTTCTTCAACTTTGAGATTTCATCCGATTTCTTGAGAATTTTTTGCCAAATAATTCTTTGTAATTTCAGAATATAATCCATCGTGATGTAAAGCCATCTAATATTTTACTAGATCTTAGTGGAACAGTGAAGTTATGTGATTTTGGCATAGCAGGGCGACTTGTTGATTCATTGGCCAAGACTCGAACAGCTGGTTGTTCTGCATATATGTCGGTTAGTATTTGTATTTCCTTTGTAATGTTTGACCATAATACAATTCAATGAACGAATAAAAAGGGTAAATTAAAGTACTATAATGGAGAAAGAAATGATCATTTTGAGTTTCGGCCTGTTCCCAGACTTTATTTTTTATTCAGAGCAGTAAAAAAATAATGGTTACAACTAACCGTTTCTGATGGTTGTTTGTGCGGCCATAATATAATTTTTTGCCAGAGAGTCGCTTTTTAATATAAATATAAGTACAGATGGACATTAAATTTTTTAGCAGTGAGAATTCTTGCCTTTTAGTTCGAACTGCGCATTTTGTTATTGTCCTTCACTAATGGCTAATGAACGACTTAAAGATTGATACTAAAGATTGATTCAGTTCACAAAGAGCGAATAGGAGCTTGTTTCGGCAAAATTTTTTTTAATAATACAAAAAATGAATTCTTTTTCAGCCAGAGCGTCTGGAAGCTCTTCGTGATTATGACATTCGTGCTGATGTGTGGAGTGTAGGTATATCCTTGGTTGAATTAGCAAGAGGCCAATATCCTTATCAAGGCTGTAGTAGCGAATTCGAAATGCTATCTCGTATCGTTTCGGAGCCTTCACCATCGATAATGCCCGAAGAAGGTTTTTCAGCTGCATTCTGTGATTTTGTTTCCCGTTGTTTAACGAAGGATTATAATTTCCGGCCAAAATATAAAGAATTGTTGGTTAGTATTTTATTAATTTTAAATTATATTCGTGTAGCATCATTTTGAAACAACGGCAAATTTTCAGAATTTATTATTTATTTGTCCCATTGCGCCAATAAAATTTTAAAATTAGTAATTTTTATTAATGTCGGTAGATTCATATATCATTTTCTTTTGTGAATTTTAAGAACAATTCAGTAAAGATTCGGAAAAAAATTGATTTTTTGTAGATTATTTTGCCAAAGATTTATTATATCAGTGGAAGAAGTGGGGTGTCATTTTTTTTTTTTATATCTGTGATTTATATGTGTAATGATTTCGTCTTATCTTATATAAAAGAACTGTAGGTCTCAATCCATTCTGGTTTTTGAATTCTGCATTTTTTATATTTTAGAAGCATGAATGGTTATTATATTATGAAAGAACTAACATTGATGTTGCTGGCTGGTATCAACAAGTCGTTCAATGTTGAAAACCAAAAAAACGTTGATTGGATTCAGCGTATTAGAAAAAATTCAATGTAGATTGTTGATTCAGCCACACCGATCTGGAAAAAAATTCTCTTACAAAGTTCTCTTCTAGGCTTTCATTTATTTCGCAGACAGATTGAAAATATACTGGTATATCTTCGTTTTATTTATTATAAAATTAAATTTGCAACTAATCATAGTCAACATTTTAAAACTATCTTAAAAGCTGTCAAAATATTTTCAACCAATTCTTTTTTTAAGCGAAAAATTTTTCTGCTTTTCTCATAGGGGCAGTAAATCTGTTGAAAATTTGATATTTTGATTTTAAAAATTATGATTTATTCGCAAAATCTTTAGAGATTTGGATATCTCGTTCAAGCATCATTTTCATTAACTTATTTTTCTTATTTTCTCTTTTTTATTTGTTGGTTAAATTTTAAAAATTTTATTTAAAAATCTTAACTTTTAACGGTCTTATTTTCAGGCAATTCCATCTCCTAGCGCTAATTTTGTTTCAATTAAAGCTTCATAAGTTTCATATAGGAAATGATTTGCAATAATGTTTTTATTTCATTACTACCTTGAATTTCCATTTCCGTTTATGGATATATGTCGTTATATTTTCCATTGAAATTTGAGATTTATTTGAAACATTTATATTGTAATAATTTCTGTACTGCTCAATTATCAGTTATATAGTCATTATGGCTAAAATTTGTTTTGTATTATTTTCATTTATTTATTGTGATAATTATTTTTTTTAATTTTTATTCGGTTTTCTATGCGATATTTGTCTTCTGTAGCGATAATTTAGATGTAATAAAAATGGGCGTAGCATGTATTTGCATTAAAAAAAAATAAAGAAACAAAGAATTTTCAATAATTCACATTCTGAACGAAAATCGAAAATTTATTCGGAATTCATAAAACTATGTCACCATATTGGAGATTATTGTTTGTCTTAAAATTTCCCATTTTGTTGCATTTTTCGATGATTTTGATAAAAATTTAAGATTTGTTTCGAATTTGTATTGACAGAAATTCGACCGATTTTATTTTCAATTAGATTTTAGAATATTAAAATAAAAGAGAATATCTTTCAGCTAAGGTGAATACTGGGGATAGAATGGCTTAGTGGGTTGTTGCTCAACTGGGAGCGTCGATGCTGAGATTCCCGCAGAAGTAACACGTACAAATATACTGGTTATACTAGCGACTCATCTGTATTTCTATCGCCAAGGGATTCCCTGGCATATTGCTCACCATGACAGGCCAGTGGAGCGGGTTTAACCAATAATGGTGAGGACTCTTGAAAAAAAAATTTATATATTAGAGAAAATTTTTAAATAAGGTGGATATTTATGCATAAAAACCTCTTAGCGAGTAAACATTTAACAAGTAATTTTTTTTTTTTTCTAAATGAGAAACTTGGAAATTTGCATAAAATGATTGTGAAAACGTGGCTGGAAAACTCTGTAATGAGTAATACCACAGCATTTTCTTCAAGTTCACTTATATGGTTTAATGGCTGAAAAAGAGCAAATAGAGAAAATACAAGTAAGGCTGATTTCCTTTCACTAATACTTTGGTTTATCTTTTAAGATGATAATATGAGAATGATAAGATAGGAAATTATTAGACTTTTGATTATTATTTTTATATTCTGACGATGGAAATGTGAAAAGCGAAAAACAGCTAGCCACTGTATAAATATAAAGATTACAGAAAAGTGTAAAAATTTGATAAAAAAAAAAAATATAAATAAAAATATAAAAAATAAAATAAAATGAATAAAATAAAAAAACTATAAAAATTCATACGCTGATTATGTAAATAAATTATACAAAATAAATTAAATAATTATTGGCTTTTTGTAAATAAAAAATGGAATTAAGAATTTAAAAAAAAAAGTGAAAAAAACCCCTCCCTAGTCTTCTTTTAATGATATGAATAGATAAGGTTTTTATGCGAAGGTAACGATGGCCGAGTGTTGTGGTTATTTCGGTTCGCGTCAAAAACCATAAGTTTGATAACCATAAGTTCCTTACTCAAATAAAAATGAAAAATTAAAAAATTATTTTAAAAAATCTGCTATCTACTTTCATAATTCCATGAGTAGATCGAGCCAGTGGCAAATTTTCGAACTGCGCTAATAGAGCTAATGCGATGAGACCAACCAGAAATGATAAGCAATAACTATTTGCATACTTAAAATGATTTTAATTTAGTAAAGAAATTATATTAAATAATAGTTTTTGAAAGTCAGTAAATTGAGGCATTTGTATGTTTCCAAATTTTTTCTTAATTTTTTCTTTTTGGTTTTTTTCTTTTAGGAACTATTACCACAATTTTCCTATAATAAAATTTTATGCTTGTTAAAAGAAGCTGGCGATGTCATTGAACGAGCTTTGGATCTTATCAATTTGAACGATTCGATTTCGAAAAGGCAATCACCTGTATTCGCTTATCAAACTTCTGACTTATCACAAAATTTTTATCGAATTACATCGAATAAAAGTGAAATTGATTCAAGGTTTTCTTATCTCTTAATTTTTATTTTTTCAAGACTGGTAACGACTATAAAATTTTTTTTCGATTTTTATTAAAATATTTAAAATAATTAAAATATTTATTAATAAAAATATTTCAAATAATTGAAAATGGAAAAATAACGGTACTTTTTCTATATATTTTTATATTTTAATGACTCTGAAAGGTCAAAACTTAAATATTTTAAATTATTCACTATAAATAATAGTGTCGAAGCGCCAATGCTGAAATTCTATTTTCCGCAAGAACGAACCTGTTTAAAAATCCGAGTGATGCTAGCGACTCACCTATTCTTTCATCGCCAAGAGATCCCCTGGCCAGCGGAACGAATCTAACCACCTTAATGGTAACTTAATGGTGAGGTCTCAAAAAAAAGATATTGTCGATTAGAAGAATTTTGTTGCAATTCACTTTACTTTACTTTTTCAGTGTTGTTGCTAAACAGAAAAATTTTACTTCAAAGACTATTCTTATAGTGAAGATTATAGTTGCTGAAGAAGGATTACCTAGTGAACAAATAATTTTCAATATCACTCAGACACTTTCCGATGTAAGTGCAGTTGGTTAAAAAAATAACGAAGGTTGGACGAATGAAAAAAAATTTCATTTTTCACGATTATATAGATTAGTAATAATTGTTTTTCAGTGCAACTGCAAAATAATTCAAGTTAAAACTCTCAGGTATTGTCTTCAGGCTGAATATGAAGAAAAATTTGCTGAATTACCAGTCGACATTGAATTCTGCGACAGTTTTACCGCTTATAAGGCAACAATTGATTTTGTGCGATCATTTATTCAAGAGACGGGGTATTTAATTTTATAAAAATTTCATTATACATGATTGCAAATTGCTATAGAGATTTGCGCGTGTTGCCATGTTGCATGATTGTTTTTTTGAATTTCATGCTGCAATTTTTTTCAAAAGATATGGGTTATCAATGCAACCCTTAATGGAGATATTAAATATCAATTCAGTTTTCACGAATACGAGGTTTAATTTGATTTATTTATTTATTTTTTGTTTGTAATAATTAACAGCTTATATAATTATCAGTTGCTATTCATATGAATCGCAACTGATCATATTAATAATTTTTTTTTGAGAGCACTCACCCATTATTGGTTAGATTCGCTTTGCTGACTTATCTGATAGGCAATTATGCCAGTGAGTCTCTTGGCATAAAAGTAAAGATGATTTGTTAGAATCACCCTGATTTTTCGGCAGGTTTATTCTCGTGGGAAGAGGAACTTCAGCATCGGCGTTTCGAATTCTCACTAAGGCATTCTATTTTCCTCTGCTTTTGTCCTGTAGATGACCCTAGCACCCGACGGAGAGAGTAGAGTAATTGATGGATACAAGTTTAGGCTTCGATTCTCGGTGACAATTATCGTGATTAAATAAACAGTATTTTAAATATTTATAATTTTTGAGCTTATTTGAGCGTATTTTTATGCTGATTAAGAAAATTTAAGAACTGCACATGACAACGTAGAATTCACATCGTTGGCGTTCGGGAATATGCCAAACTGTGGATTATTTTTTCTGGAAGGGGAATATTTAGCTGAGAAAATAAACTTGCATGATATTCTTGGTATGTTATCTGCTTTCATCCTTTCATTTTGAGAACATGCTTTTTCATGAAATGATAATGGTGCGTCGGTTAATTTTGTATACGATTAGGTATTATCTATAGAAGCTTAGAATGTTGCATAAGAATGTCAGATCTCCAGAATCGGCTCTGTTTAACATTAACATCTGCTTAGTGCTACTACCGTGAATTTGGCTAATTTTAGGATTTTTAGATATAGGTGAATTGTCTTCATGGGCACATTTTGAACACAATACAAGAAGAATACTGACTTTCTACTTTACTATCAAAAATGATACAATATCGAAAGATGATTCGCAATATGTTGGCTTTAAGCTTGTGGTTCATTACGATTCTTTTTCTTCAGTGGATCGTTCACTGCGATTCAGATTCTGATGAAAAATCTGATTATATTTTCATACATCTCAAGTATCCGCCTCAAGTTGGTTTTCCTTTTTTTTGCTCTAACTTAAAACATAAATTTATAGAATATTCGATGATATTTTCTTGCTTGAATTCTTCGTCTTGTTTTTTTCCTATTTTTTCACTTATAATTTTCAATAGTTTAATCAATTCTAACAAAAAAAAGCTATCTAAATGCCTTTCGGATTAGCAAATACTATTTAGATATGGCAGGCAGTACCTCGTTTAACATATCATGGAAAGAAATCACAGTATCTCAAACAGTGCAACGATTGGATTAGATCACTTCAGTGGCATGGTAACAAACACTTTTCAGGATGTTCACAAATATATGATAGGCTTCTATAGTATTTATCATTAAAAGAGTGATATTTAAATTAAAATTTTATTTTTTTATTTTTTATTTTAATATTTTTTTATTTTTGTTTATTTTTTAAATATTTATATATTCCCATATCAAATTAGATATTCAAAGTATCACCACAGCTATTTTTTATCGTTCATCTTATTCTTATTCTCATATTTCTGCCAGTTCTTATTAAAATATGCAAGCAGCCTTAAGGAAGTTTTGGCTAGATCGCAATATATATGCTTTTCACTTCGCAAAGAAGCTAAACAAATGTTACCGAATGAAAATTTCTGGATCAACGAATCAAATACGAATAAGCATTTTACTGCAAATACGGTAATTTTCGCAAAAAAAATAATAGCTATAATTGGAATATTTGGCGATTTTTTTTTGCAAATCTGATCATTTTATCAACAATGCCTTAGAGCAAAACCAATAATTATGTTTTTATAGTGGTGTCTATCATAAAATTTTTTTTAATAAAAATATTATTATATTATTTAATTATATTTTTTATAAAATATTTATAAAAAATTATATTAAAAAATAAAAAAAATTAAAAAAATGCAATGCAATAATATTTAATAAATATTTTTAGAAAAAAATAGGAATGTATCAGATTTGTTATAAGAATGCCATAATAAGTTTGGTTTATTTGTTAATTTATTTTTTTATTTTTATAATATATTTTTTTTTTTGTTTAATTAGTAGCAATCAACTTTTCAGCTATTCGAAATTCTTTCTGGTTGGAAAAAGCGGACGAAAAATCGAATCGTTTTTGGCGCTGTAATGAAAGTACCACGAAGAGAACCGAAGAATCGTACCTCCTATGAAATTGGACCTTTCAAGTTTCTAATTTGCATTTCTTTCATTTGCCTTTCGATATTTGCCATATTGCGAAAAAGTTTCATTAAAATTTTATTGAAAGCAATATCGTTTTAGTTTGGCATTTCACTTACAGTAATAAATCCTAAGTGGCTTCGGCTGCTCTCCTGCACTTCTAGCTAAGCAATTCGCTGATAGAAATAGAAAGCATTGATAGCTAGCAAAAGAGATAAGATTAGCCAGAAATGGTGAGCGCTATTCACCTATGGTTTATTTATACAAATCTCATTTAATCTAAAATCAATCTTCAGAATTAATTACTTGTTAGAAGCGCTTTATAGCCAAGGAAGAGTAGTAACTGACCAAATTTTTGATCATCGTCGTTCCACCAACACAAATATTTTTTTCGAACGGGTCGAATATGCATCAAAGGTTTATTTCATATAGAATCTTATTTAGGATTTAATATAAAATAATATAATATTACAAATAATTCTATACAAATATTAAACTTTATTATTAAAATATAATATTATTTAATATTATATATATATATATATATATGGAAGAGGTTTAAACGAGGATATTGAGGAAAGAGTTCGGCTGCTATTCTCGATAGAAGCAAGTGTTGGAAAATTCGAGTTATGTCAAAGAATTCGTACCAAAAAAAATTTCTAATTTTACTAACAACCAGAATTTGTTAGCCTAACCAAAAACAATTGAGAATTAACCACTTTAACAATTGAAAATATTTAGAAAAAAAATTACTAAAAATTAAATAAATTAATAAATTTAAAATAATATAAATTATGATTATATATAATTTAAATTTATTAATAAATTAATGAATTTTTCTTGGAAAAAAATTATAATAAAAAAATATATGCATAAAATATAGATAAAATATAAATATATAAAATAATATATATATTTAGGAATGTTTGCCTACATGTGAAGAAAGCATTAAATGCAACTTTAGCTACAGTCAATAAAAGACGACAAATCGCTTTGTTCAGTTTCTTCGAATATACTTATCGAAATCAATTAGAAATATTTCGACGATGATCTTTTATAGACGATACTATTCCACCGAATTGCGTTTTTATTCGAAAGGTTTGATGGGAATCTTTTTTTAAAATAAAATAAATATTAAAATTACGCGAAAATTTTATTCCTTTAACTAATCCATTTATACTCTTTGATAATACTTTTTTTTAAAAATTTTTTTTTTAAATAAAATAATTTTTATTTTTAAAAAAATTTCTAAATATAATTTTTATATATATATATAAATTTTAGATTATAGTAACTCCTCTTCGCATTCTACTTTTTGCACCACAAATTTCAGCAACTAAGCGAATAATTCGACGTTTTGGCGAAGAAAACGCTTTAAGATGCGTTTTTCGTGACGATAACGGTAAAAAATTGGTTGAAAGCGAATTTAGTTGTGGTCGAGCACAACGAGATTATTTTGCATTAGCTTTTTTGTATTAATCGATTTTATTTAAAGCGAATTAATAAAAAATATGATTAATATAAAAATTTAATTTTTTGTAGCGCTATAAAAAGTTACAAAAATTAAATTAACCTCCATTCCGTATATATTCCTACTTATGAATAAAATATATTGGATCTCTATAAATATATTGGATCTCCTGAAAATCTCCTAAATTTTCCTGAAAATTTTGGAATTTGTGAATATTTTTTGCGTTTTCATCAAATATTTAATACTATCTGAAAGTGTTCCATAGATATCTTTTAATAGAGACAGCAGAAAAATTATTTTTAAAGATTATTTAATTTCTCCATTCAATAATTACATTATGACAGGCATCTTCATAACTTCTTCATAAACAGTTTTTATAATAATATATAATTTAGATTTTTTGTAAGGAATTCTTATAATTCTTACCATTACTGGTTAAACATTACTCGCTCCACTGCTTGTCGCATTGAACAATAAGCCAGGTAGTAGCCTTGGCGATAGAAATACAGGTGAGTCTCCAGCACCACTCGGATTCTTGGACAGATTTACTTCTGCGGGGAATCGAACCTCAGCATCGGCGCTCCCAAATGAGCAACAACCCACTGAGCCATTCTATCCTCATATATTATTTCGCCAGATGATTCGTTGCATTGTGTGGTTTTCGTCGGATTTGTGGCGAATATACGGCAAAAATATGAGATATAATTTAGATCATAGAATGTTAAATCTAATTTTGTATATTTCCCGTATATTTTATTAAATGCTAATATAATTTTGCATATATATCATTTTGTGATTTCCTAAAGTGCACCTATGGCTTCATTCATTCAATCTTTCGCTTATCTTCTAATATTTTGATTAGCAGATTTTATGAGAAAAATTTTTGGATAGTTGTCATTAATTTTATTGTTTATTGTTGTCTCATACACATACACATACACAAAGAACTTACCGTACAGAACTTATTCTGAACTAATATATCTTTCAATCGTAAGCCATAATTTACTTCATAGAAAACAATAAGACTCAAATAAACTTGTTGTCATATTTTATAAATGCTACTATTTATAATAGTTTGCACCATTATCGTCTTATGTCGTCTTTGCTGACTAAAGTATTAAAAAATCTCTCCATTTTATTTTGCTTATTTTATTTTATCATTTTTTTAAAATTTTAAAAAAAATTTATTTTTTAAATTTATTTTAGAAAATTTTATACTTTTTAAATTTGCTTAAAATTTATTTTTATTTTTTAAAAAAAAATTTTTAAAATTCTCTTATTATAAATTTTATTAATCTTAAACGGTAAAACTTTATTGTTCTTTATTGTTTATAGTTCCAGAAGTTCCAGGAAAATCGAGTGATTAATAGATTAGTTCAAATTGACTTATTTCTGCATTATTGATTTAATTATAAGCAAAAAAAATAAACTTCACATCATTACATCATTATCAATATTATACTTGGTCTTATCAGCACTACTTTGTTCTATCAGTGCTCGATCAAAAAACAAAAATCCTGCCAACTTTAGGAGTAAATATATTGTTAAAAAATCTGGATGAGGCTGGCAATCCACTTGCGTTTCTATCGCCAAGTGATTATAATTTTTTTTTACTAAGGAATCACTTGGTGATAGAAGTACATCTGAGTATATTCTCATCGTTATCCGACTGATTGAATATAGAAATATGAAAAAACGAAACATATAATTTTGGATTCCATAAGAAAAACTGGATAATGATTGCTGTATTTCAAGGGCAATCTACAATTATTCCTAAATCTCATTTATAAAACGCTAATTGAAGGGATTCATATAGCATTAAGACATTACAATTTTTTGGCTTGGTCAAACTCATAGGTAAACGAATCGCGCCAACTCTGTAGTTGAAAAAAAGTGGAATATTTTCAACAATGCTATGCTAATTTTATGTGTATATTATTTATTTAGTTGCGTGATCACGGTTGCTATATGTTTTCAAAAGCTATCGTAATAGATTCGATAAGTAAATATCGAATTGAATGTACAGTTGATGATATACGCCATGAGATGGGAAATTTTGCCTCATCGAAAAATGTTCCAAAATTAATGTCGAGAATGGGACAACGTTTCACATAAACTCAGGTATTTCTATTCGTCTTATATTTTTATATTTCATAATATTAAGTTTGTTAAATCCTTCCTTACGACAATAATATTTACCCGACTATTTGTCTAAAAAGGGAAGACTGGCGTTTGGAAGATGATATTATTGGTGGTGCTCCACATCCTGACATTTGTGAATATGCAATTTTCTCGGATGGAGCTGGACAAATTTCAGAAAAGTTCGCATCTTTAGTTGCTGAACGATTCGAATTAAAAACCACACCATCTTGTTTTCAGGTGAATTCTTCATAAATTTTTGATGAAATAAATACTGAATATTGAATAAATTATAATAATATAATACTGAATAAATTTATATGAGTTTTTTAGGTACGCTTTAAAGGATTCAAAGGAGTTTTGTGTGTTAATCCGTTATTAGATTTGAAAGGTCGCGAAAATATCGTTTTTCGGAAGAGTCAGAAAAAATTTGAAGAGGATGAAGAAGAAATTGCTGAATTAGAAGTTGTAAAATATTCACTGCCCACATCTGCATGCCTAAGTCGACCACTTATAATGATTTCTTGATCAAGTATAAAAATTTTTAAATGGCTTCATATGGTTTTCCATATTATTTATCGTATTGTATCGTACCAATAAAGCCAAAGAGATTATCAATACTTGAAGGAAAAAAAAAGATTTAATATCATTTGGCCACAAATCAAAGATTTAATATCGCTTGGCCATAATCGAGAAACCACTCGTATATCCTCTATTATCAGATATAAAATCAAATTTTTTAGACCCATTTTCATTTAAATAAAAACACTTAATAATGCTTAATTAGTATTTCAAATTGTTGGAAAACAAGCCAATGCTGAAACTGAGTTTTTAACTCAGCTTTAGGCATCCTATTCTAAAGTAGAGAAAAACTGTCAAGAAATAAAATCCTGTAGCTATTGGCGATTTACAACTATTCCTAAATGATTCTCTTGGTGAAAGAATCTTCTTTAAATGTCTCAGTCTTGCAATTAGTAGCCCCACCAATCAAGCCAGAGTGATTGTCGTTGCTCGAAGAAAAAGACAGTTTTGTTCATTGTACTCAAATTTATGAAGCAATTTATGAAGCAATTTTTTTTTCAAAATGTTCCTTAAGGTCAGTAAAAAACAAGGCATACGTCTTCATGAACAAGTAATCGAATTCATTCACTGTTTTCGAAAGAAATCAATTTTCTTGCAGGTTTTGGTTTGGTTTTATCTCTTTTATTGTATGTAATAGCTATAGAATGACTTTAAGCCTAGAGAAAGGATCCTCTTTACGTTGAAATCTCGCGTAATAATCTTATTCAGGAATATTGGTCAGTGAAGCTGATGCTGTTGAAGTTCTAAGTTCTCACCTTTCGATTCCAATCAATTTTCGTCAATTGCAGAATAATGGATTTATTTTCAACGACGAACCTTTTTTTCGATCCTTGCTGATTTCAATCTATCGATGTAGTATTGGTCCCGAATTGCTCGAGCAGTTTACTTCTTTAAGAGATTTTAAATTAAGACAGTCTATAGAAGTTTCTGACTGTAAGGATTCCGGGAGAAAATAAAAGACCAGATAAGGCAGTACTGACTGAGCTTCCTGAAAATTTTTCCTTCAAAATTTTATAATGAACAATTTTTAGCAACTTTACGAGGAGTGATCAGTAGTTCATACTCGTATCGTGTCACAGATTTTGCTAGTTCAGCCTCAGCTTTCGACAAGAGCAAGGCATTCATTAAAAAATGCGATTGGTTCTAGTGATCCATCTTCTCTTATATCGGTGATTAATTTCCTGGCAAAAAATTTCTAAGCATATTAAACAGCTAGTAAAGCGAACTTAAAACCAAAAGGGTAGTGGTAGTGCTTTATAACTGTTTATTTAATTAAATTATTTAAAATATTTTAGCAAAATATTTATAATATTTATAATAATATTAAAATAATTATATTACTTTTTCTGGCAACTGAACTAGTTTTTTGCCTTCAGGTCCATTATTCCTTAATTTATTATACATATCATAAGAAATATAAAATCTGTTCCATTTCCATTTTTCCACTTTTCCATGAATTTCCATTTTTTATAAATTTACAATAATTTTTCTTTTTTATAGATCAACAGATGCATAAATCCAAATTGGTTTTACCAAGCTCATTGGGTCGTACTATGTATGGAGTTTTCGATGAAACAGGCTTACTGCAATATGGTCAAGTTTTTGTGCAATATTCTTCGAACATTCGCAACCCGTCAAGTAGTCCAATTATTCATAAAGGTAAGCAAAAAAAAATGAAATAAGCTGAGCTTGTAGAACTTCAATTAGGCTCATTTTTCTTAGCATTCTTACAATAATAAATATCGACACGATCCCATTTCATTCAGTAATCCCTTCAGCAAAATTGGATCTAAAAAAAAAAGCAGCAGAATATTAATAAATATTTTTTACAAAAATAAATAAACTTATCTGATTTTTTACTAATCTTTTTTTGAGGTCCAGTATTGGTTACCAAAAATCCGTGTCATGTAGCTGGTGATATACGCTTATTTGAAGCTGTTTATCAGAATTCTCTGAAACATCTTCGAGATATGATTGTTTTCCCACGTTATGGTCCTCGACCATATCCAGATGAAATGGCTGGTTCGATATTATTCATTTTTTAAATTAATATTTCGAATATTTACAAAATATATAGGTTAAAATAATGGATTATAGGCAGTGATTTGGACGGTGATGAATATATAGAAATATTTGACAAGACTTATTCATCAAATACAATAAACCAGCAATGATTTTCCCAAAATTTATTCCTGTTGAATATCAAGAATCTCCAAACGTTAGCGAATATTTACTTCTACAATTTTGACAATTTAAATAATTTACCAATTCACAAGTTTATAACTGTTTTCAATAAGGCTTATATTTCCTCATTCAAAAACAATAAAGGATAAATAATAAATTTTAATAAATAATAATAAATAAATAAAAAATTTTAAGAAATATAAAAATAGAAATTCCAATAAAAATTTTCCCAAAATAACAATTTTTTTTCTTAATAATTTTTTCTCTATAAAAATTATATTTTTCATTTAAAATTATCGTTGATTTATTTATTAATTTTGAAATATTTGCTTATTTTTAGTTTTAGACCGAAGATTTGGTATATTTCTTTTTAAAATATCTCAGACAAGATTCACTCGGTAAAATTTCAAATGCACATTTGATTATGGCTGATCGTATTATTGGACCTTTTTCAGTTAGGCTTTGGCATTCCTTTATCACCATTTAATATTTTATTCATTTCAAGATTATTTTAAAATTATTTTTAAAATTATAAAAATCTTAAAATTTTAAAATTTAAGAAATTTAAGAATAAAAAAATTGAAAATTAGAATTTTTATTCAAGTAAACATTAAATATTCAGTTAAAAAACCATAAAATTTCCTCGTCTATTAAATATATAAAATTAATTCAAAATTATAGCGAAATTTGTGATAATATTGCAAAAAAATGCTCGGTAGCAGTTGATTTTCCAAAAACGGGTCGACCAGCAACGAGATTGACTGCTCAAGAACAAAGCGATCTAGTGCCGGATTATATGCAAAATTCCTTCAATGCATCCTATCCTAGTCGACGTCTTCTTAGCAAATTATATCGGTTCGATAATTTTGATTTATCGTTGATTTAAACGTAGCGAGCTTATTTCTCAGACGCTCATAAATTCGCTGATAAATTCAATTAATGATTAATTTATCTTTAAAATATTATTTTCGAATTTTTTTTTTCGTAATAAACTTAATTTTTTAAATTTTATTTTAGGAATATTTTTATGGAAAATAAGTTGTGAAAAAATAGCTATACGCCATCATATTATTGTGTTATTTTTTATATTATTATTTTATATTATTATATTGTGATTGAAAATATTCGTTTATTTATATTGCTTATATATAATTTAAAAAAAAAATTACTAAAAATAAAGCTAAAAAAATGAGAAAAAATGTGAAGAGAATAGCTTGGTGGGTTGTTGCTTAATTCGGAGCGCCGATACTAAGGTTCTACTCCCAGTAAGAGTAAACCGGTCCAAAAATCCGTGTGATGTTGACTACTCCTCACCTGTATTTCTATCGTCAAAGGATTCCCAGTGGAGCGAGTTTAACCAGTAATGGTGAAAATTCTTTAAAAAAAAATGAGAAAAATATCTTCGTTTATTTTTCAGGAAAATAAAAAGAATTCGAGAAATCGTCGAAACAATTAAGGAATTCACAATCGAGGATAGAAAAGCAAAAGCATGGTACATGACGTGTCATGGTCCACATCTTAGAACAACAACAACTTTTAATTTTAAATCATTTCCTTGCATTATATGGGATATTCTCATTATAATCAAACGCAGAGCGGCTTAAAATCAACAATTTTTTAGATGCAAAAAATGCTATTAAACGATCGAATCACTACAAGATTCGAATTCATCGATATAGGCCGAACGTTAATAGATTTCATTCGATATTTAGCCAATAAACAATTTACAGTTCCGTTGATTTTTTCGCTAGGAAAAGATAATTCAAAAAAAGAATCATTTTCAAGTATAATTATCCACCAACGTCTATTGTCGATAATATGCACGGTAAGATAAAAATTTCGATAAAAATTTACAATAATCAAACTTTTAATCGTTTCATTCACAAGTCTCTTTTCTTCTCGACTATGGTTCTATAAAAAAAAGTGAACGACGTTATCGACCATATACACATAAAACTCACCTTTTATCACGTACTGGACTGCGAAACCAATAAGTGATCCAGAAAAAACGATAGATAGAAAAGAAAGAAGCAGATGAGGTAACATAAGGTATGGTAATGAAAGCTGAATCGAAATGAACGATGCAACCACAGTTATGAGATAAACAATCTCAAAAAAATTGTAGATTAAATTGTAGATTTGAACTATTTATTCCATATTCAAAATGGAGTTCAAAAAATCATTAAATTTCGATAAAAATTAAAGAATTTGTTTTTTGCCTATTTTTGTTCCTTATCGCTTTATTTATTTATTTATGCATTTTTGTTACTGTTCATGAAGGTAAATTGTAGATTTGAACTATTTATAATATATGGCAATTTTTAAAAAAATATTGAACATCAAAATCTGATTATAAGGTTTAATATTATTAGAAAAATGCGACACAAACAATAAACGATAACGATAAAAAGCAACTTAACCCAAAAGATTAAAAAATATAAAAATTCTTAAAATTCTTAAATTTAGGTTCGCAATTTACCTTCGCAAACGTTACATCATGTTGGACTAACAAGAAAATTTGAAGTTTTAAATTTAGAATCGTAATATTCCATATTCAAAATGGAGTTCAAAAAATCATTAAATTTCGATAAAAATTAAAGAATTTGTTTTTTGCCTATTTTTGTTCCTTATCGCTTTATTTATTTATTTACGCATTTTTGTTACTGTTCATGAATAAAAATTCCTCGAAATCTTTTATTAACTTTTATTAACTTACTAACCAATTATGGAAGAAATGGTCAATATGTGCACCGTCTCCAAATGTCAAATCGTGAAAAGATCAACTGATCGTTTGCGTTAGTGGTCCATATCTCCATATTCACTATTAGTGCGCTACAATAATATTCTTAACTGAAATACCGCAGCATATCGCTCTGCCATAATATGAACCTTTTTCTCTAGGCTTTTCTTTCTGCCATTCTCTTTTTTTATTGCCACTGAACAGAGAAGAAAATAATTTAATCAAAGTCAATAAAATGACAGAAATAATCGCATAACTTTAGAAATAGATTTAAATAAAGAAAAGCGCAACTAATACAACAAAGCATTGAATGAAAACAGGCAGTTTAAAGGACTAAAAATCAAGCAATTAGGATTGTATTTAACTTTGGAATAAAGTGTGAACGAATTGTTCATAGTCCAGAGCACCTGGCACAGAACGACCGGAGATCGCATCCGTATAAGGTTTCATTCGCTTTATGCAGTATTCCGCTTGCTCTGGTGTAAGATTCTAAAATGAAATATTTTAATTTCAAGGGAAATTAAAATTAAATAGTCACTATATCGTTCCCTTAAAATTTCTTATGCCTTTTCTTCAAAATTATTGTATATCATCTTTTCTTCCGCCCCATTTCTTCCTCTTCTCAGCCTTCTATTCCCTTTCCCTATACGAGCAGAAATACTTACAGCATAAAGTTCTTCCGCAGTCACGTAAGGTCGGAATTCTTTGGATAAAGCTCGGAAAGCACTTTCAATCTCTTCACTGGATTGTATATTTTCGGTTTCCTTTGAAATCATAAATGCCATGTATTCTTGTAGCGTAACATAGCCGTCACGATTAGGATCAACGATATCGAGAATTCTTTGAAATTCAGGCTCAGGTTGACCTTCATCAACCATCGGCAGATCATAACCCAGTGCACGTAAGCAGCTTTTGAACTGTTGGTGATCAAGGCGGCCGCATTTCTCCTACAATTAAATATACATATATATATGTAAAAAACAAATATATATAAATATATATAAAAAAAATATACATAGGAAGAGAATCAAAAGTAACCTTTATTCATTATGTTGATCGTTGGTAATATCAAAGCAAATAGGAAAATAAATCATTTCAAAATTTACCTTATCGAAATGCTTGAACATCATGGAGAATTCTCTGAGAGCTTCTTCAGTTACACCCGATTGATTTCTTGCTTGTATTTGTTGCTCTAGATTATGCTGCATTCTCATGGCTAATTGATCCAGCTGATCCCAAGCTTGAGCCAGACCAACAGTGCTAAGAACATCATTGCTATTACACATTAATCCATACACCGGTTAACAAATACATTAAAAAATAATAGAAAAACCTATCGAAAAATTCGCAAAACAATAAAAATAAATAAAATAAATAAAGTAAAAAATACCTATGCTCTGTATATCGATTATCAAGAATTAAGTACTCCTCGAGTAAAGCACCGAGATCCTCAATTTTTTTTAACTGTGCTCGATTATTTTTCACATCAATAGCCTAAAAAGAATAAGAATTTTTGTAATCAGAATTTCATTGCTACGCTAAAATTACCACCTTTCTTTTCAATAATTCTAGTTGTTCTTCTAAGGTTCCACTCGTTTCCATCATTGCTGCACGAGTTTCTGTCAACCAGTGGTGGAAAGCATTTGCTTGACGGGCAAAGTCACGACGAAGTTTGTCATTGTCCTCTTGACGCCGATGTTCTTTTTGAAGTTCCAGTTCACGTTCCTAAAAAATGCAAAATTTATTAAAAACTATTAGCATCAATAGTGAAAATATATTTTATATCAAAAGCCAAAAATGCCAAAAGCTAAAAAGTTCAGAAATTACTTTGATAATTTTCTGAAGATTCCGCCAAGTTTCTTCAAGAGCATCCATTGTGAACCATGTATAGGGATTTGGTCCAACATTGAAAGATTTGATTTGCTTATCCAAATGTTGCAATTGTTTGAAATCTTCCTCGGCCACTGATAGTGATTTGTGGAATTCTGCATGAGCTTCACGTAACGCGCTAATTTCTTCCAAAGAATTGCATCTTACCGGATCTGTTAAATCTTCTTCAGCATTTTCGAACCAAGAATTAAATGCAGACGCCTGCAAATTCATTGCAGTTATTTAAAATCAATATCAAAGGATAATATCACCTGCTTATTTTAGATTTTCGGAATTTTTGCAAAATGCTATAAAAAATGGAATTAAACAAACTTTTTTAGCGAATGTAAGATATAATTCTTCAATTTGCTTGTACTGTTCTTGCATTTTGAGTAATTTTTGACGACGTGCATTAGAATTACCCAACAATTGTTGCCATCGCATTATAACATTACCATAACGCTTCTCAATAGCTGGTGTCTGTGCGTGTTGAGCATTAACTAATTGGTCTTTTAATTCGCTAATTCTCTGAATTCCTTCGTGCTCAAAAGCATTTAATCCAGCGTCAAATGCTTCTTGTTTGGTCAGCAGAATCTGTACCGATGATAAATCTCGTCCAAAATCATCGGATCGCACTTGTTGTTCTTTTTCGGCTAGAATTATGATTTTTAATTTTTGTAATTGCAATTTACAGTATAGAAAGAATATCGCTCATTTGGAAAAAAATTAAATGATCAAAAAGTAAATGGAGAGGCTTAGGCTTAGTCAAAAGCGCAAAGGTAAGAATAAGGAATTTGATTCTACTATATTTTGCGAAAAAAATACAGTGAAAATCTTACCAATCCAACTTTCAACGACATCACATTTCCATATGAACTGTAGATAAGCACTACTATCTCGAAGTTTCTGAAGCCTACGACGAGCCAATTCAGTAATTTCATCAAGGCGATTTCGAAGCTGATCACAACGTGCCTTGATCGTTGGACTATGATGATTACCAGCATCTATGAGCTAAATGAAAATATTTACTATTTACCAAGAATTGGATCGTAAAATAGAAAAAAAACTGGTGGATAACTAAAAAGAAAATTAGACCTTCTGCCCGTCTTTTATGAGTTGAGCAACTCGTTGATTATGAAGAACAAGATCGGCTTCAAAAGCATCATGCTTTTTCAGAAGACCTTGAACACCAGCCATATTCTCTCCAAAGTTATCGGATGAGAGAATCTGCTGCTTTTCATTCATCCAAGCCTCTTCTTCTTCAACTTTTCCGATGAAAATTTGAAAATCTTCACTTTCATTTAATTTCTGGTGTCTATAAATTTTCTTATTTCATCCATAAAATTAAATATTAAATATTTTATTTAAAATATTTAAAATATTTTTATGCCATAAAATTTAATATTTTGAATCAGAATTAGGATTCTGAAAAAAATTTTGAAAGAATATCATTTTTTTTATTACCTCTTGCCAGTAATATTCTTGATTTCGTCCCAACTTTTTTCAAGAGCAGCCATTCTATCTTTTATTTCCGATGCACATACATTAGACATATTCGCTAACTCGAGTCCTTTTTCACGAACCAAAAAGACTTGCGGTTCGTGAGATGCAAGTTCGTTATCAAGACGTCGATGTTTCTTACGCAGATTTTGGACACCAGTAAGATCGCGACCGTAATCATCGCTCGATACAAGTAATTTCTTTTCTCTTAAAAAACCTCACAATCGAATAGTTAATATCTCATTAATTTTTTAGTTATTAAAATATGATTAAAACTGCTCTTCAAATTCAGCAATGTAAAAATTGAAGAATTTTTTAGTACAGTTCTATAAATATTGTTCTATCCGGAATTTTATAAGGTAAATAACAAACTTGATCCACGATTCCTCATCGTCAATATCTCTGAGGAACTGGTGTACTGTGATTGCTTTATTAAGGTTATCCCTACGTAAATTCGCCATTTTTTTTACATTTTCATATCGATCATTGATAATCTAAATTAAAACAAGTTTTACTTCTTTTTTAAAAGAACTTTTCTTCAGTTAGAAAAAAGAAAAAATGTTACCGAATATATGTAATTATAAACCGAAAATTTAAAAAAAACATACTTTACGACGGTTGTTGATCTCAGGGCGATCGAATTGCTCGTTTTCTAGAAGATTATCTGCTTGTGTATTCATTTCAGCCACACGGTCGGCATGAGCAGCAATATCAGCTTCGAGTAATTGATGCTTTTTCAACAGATTTTCAATAGAAGCAAGATCTTTGCCATAATCCTCAGAAGCGAGAAGTCCTTTAATCAAAAATCAATTTAATTTTAAATTCCAATATTTCCTAACAAACTGCCCATAAGAATTAAAAAAATGAATATTAAAAAATATTAATAAATATTAATATAAAAAAAATGACCTTCGATTTCACCAAGCCAGAATTCTAAATCTTTGACAGCCGCCATAAAGCTTTTCTGTCGATTAGCTTCCTTTAGCCGATAACTTTTCTCGGAAGTGGTTTTCACCAACATCTCCCATTGATCATTCAGCGCTTTAAGCCTTTGCGATACAGCATCCTTTAAAAAACATTTTAATTAAAAATTGATGCATGAAAAATTCTGAAAGAAATGGATCGCACATTTGTTTCCATTAAAAGTTTAAAAATTTTAATTTGTATATACCAGCAAATAATCACAAATGGGCTTTTATCGATTAAATCACGAAAACAAACCACATTACCCGTGTATTTGCTTTCATAAAAACATTCTGAAAAAACTCACCTCGCTTCCGGCGCATTTACTCCCATCAATTAAATTTTGCCCAGCACTAATTAAAGTGGCAATACGATCCGCATTGGCAGCCAACTCCGCCTCGAAAGCCTGCTGTTTCTGATGCTTTTGTTGGATATGCGTAGGATCACGATAGTTTTCTTCTTGCGCAACTTGGAACTTTTCAGCGATCCAATTCTCAATTTCATCTGCGTCGCGTGAAAATTGTTGAAGCGTTTGTGATTCACCAAGTTTACTTCTTTTTTCAATTAGTGCACTTTTCAGACGATCCCATCTTTGGAGGATTTGATCACGCTTATCTGCGACTGCATCTTTTCCATAATGATCAGAATTGATTAGTTGGTTGGCAAACGTTCGCAAAGCAGATATTTTTTCTTGTTGAGATGCTATGGCCTGAAAAGTAATAATAGGCAATAATGCATAAAAAATAAGTGCAAAGTAATGATAAAAGGGAAATAATGCCTTAATAAGCATTTCTTATCCTTTTTCTGAATCGTCCTTTTTCTAACATCATAGCTAATTTGGTTCACTCCACTGATTTGTCTTGAGCTATTCTCGTTGGTTCAGCCATTACCAACAAAATTTAGGAAGCATTTCTATGAAACTATTAGTTTTTACCCAAGAGATTATAAATTACTTTGTCAAAGTCCTCATGCTTTTTGATAAGACTTTCAACGTTATCACCAGTATCCTCTTGATTAAGGAAAGCTTCTCGAGCACTCATCCATGTATCCGCTTGTTCACAGTCGCGATTGAATAACTGCAACTCTAGGCACTGATCTAATACATGTCGACGATGTATCCAAGCACTAAAAACGAATATTAAACAAAGAAAAATTTTGATAAAAAAAAAGCTTTGATAAAAATAAAGTTGCGATGAAAAAAGAATTTTAGTAATTTTACTCTTCGAGTTTTCTTCGAGCCTCATTGACGTCATTCAAGCGTTGTTTGATGTTATCAGATGCATAATGATGACTGTTCAAAAGTTGATTTCCAAACTGCTCGAATGCTTGAAAAGTGGCCGCACGTGAATCAATTTCAGTGCGATATTCTTGATGACGCTCCAAAAGAGCTTCTGCACCAGTCACATCATTAGCCAATTCATCACTAGATACTAAAATAAAAAGTGTTAGAACACATCTAAAATGTATTCAAATCCATTCAATAAATAGAATGGTCATAGATCAAACTTGTTCTTTCGAACATTTTAAATTTTTGTGATTAAATTAGATATTTTTATTCATAAAATTGCATCATACTCGTAACTCTATTTCTACATTCAATCTGTTCCATTTTTTCCACTACTTTTTCTAGATTTTTTTAAGAATATATATTTCTATACGATAAGCTTATATAAAATCGTACGCAAAGAAACTACTACTACTCGAAGCGATCTCACAGAGTGAGGAAAAAGTCGACAGAAAATAGAAAATAACAGAAAATATTCGACGTTATCTGTTCATATCTTATATTTTCTAAATGTTATTTTTTTATTAGAATAAATGAAAATTGAAAATAAACCTAATTGATTCATAGCAGCTATCCATTGCATAAGATCACGAAAATCAGAAAGGAAGCGCTGATAATCATAGCTGTCGAGCAATCTTTCTTTACGATTATTGGCTTTGGTCGTCAAACGATTCCACTGTTCATTAAGTTCTCGTTGTAGATCATAAATCTGCTCAGCTGCCTCAGGATGAGTCTGTCGTAGGCGATTTGCCTTTTCATCCAATGTTTTGATCTGGAATTTCAACAGTAACTGAAAAAGATTAACGACAAAAAAATTTCTTAGAAAAATAAAAGTTAACTATTTTTAACTATCTTTAATAATTATTTTTCATAAAATGGAACAATGAAAAATAAAAACATCTTTAAAAAATGGCTTAAAATAGAGATAGAGATAATTTTACAATGAAAATGTCACCTTATCGCCAAGAGCAGCCAAATCTCTTTCAACTCCTTCATGTTTTCGTTGAAGAGCTTGAACCGAACGCAAATCACGACCAAAATCTTCTGAATCGAGTGCATCGTCTTTTTCTAGAATCCAATCCTTCGTCTCATCAATATCCCGATGGAAACGCTGTACTTCATGAGCAGAACCAAGCTGCTGTTCCCGTTGTTCTGTTTGTTCTTCTAGTGCACGCCAACGTGCATTCAAATCCTTCAAAATTTTTTATAAGGACTTGAAAAAGTATATTTATGGACAAAAAAATTTTAACAGAAAATTTAAATTAAAATTGCTAACATCAATTTGCTGCCTAATGCGCACAGCCGTTTCAGTTTGACCCACTGATGTAAGTGCCGTCGCAATTTGATTCATTTCTTGCAAACGTATTTCGTTTGCTTTTAGATCACCTTTGAAGTCATCAAATTTCTTTTGTAATATTTCCACTTGTTCTAAATCACTACCAATTTCTTGTTGAGCAGCAACAGCTTCCTATAATAACAATAATTATGCAATCAAAAAAAAGAGCAAAAATACAAAATTAAAGCAACCAAAGCGAATTGTAATGTGAAATGTGAATAATTGAATGAAACATATAAACGTAAGCTGAAGCTGAAAGCTATAAAATGAAATATGTGATAGGTGCAATAAGCAGAATAACATTTTAAAACCTTTCAAACTCTAAATGGAAAAAAAAACTTGAAAATAAAAATTCACAAATATTCATGTATAAATCATCTTTCAGCAGAACGACTCATTTTCATAACTATTTATTCTCATAATTAAATTTCCTCTATCCAATTATTATATTGTTCACATGTCGATATATGCAGCTGATACACTAATCTCAATAGAAAATTCGAAATAAATTATTTCTAACATCCACAAGCAGATGAAATAATTTAAAAAATAAACTCACACTGGCCACTTCAACCTGTATAAGTAATTGAATAAAAAAAAAGTAAAAGTTGAAAAAATTTTGGCAAAAAAATGCCTTCAAAAAATGAAAATGGAAAAAACGACAAAGGAAAAGAAAGTTATCACAATTGTGATTATCATTGCTATGCCGATTGTTCAATAATAATCTTCATGCAGAAAAATTGATTTCAAAACAATTAAGATAGAGATAGAGATAATTTTACAGTGAACAGAGTCTTTTAAGTAAAGAGATAGTATTTTTCGACTAGCTGCTGCAATAGATATGTGAGTTGAGAAAACTTTGTAACAAAAAAAGAATAAAAAAAGAAAATAAAATTTGCAAATATTCATTTGCATTTAAATTGTTTAAGTTAATTATTTATTTTTTAAAAAAATATTTAATATTTAAATTAATTAATAATACTAACTCTCGAACGTATCCAATCTGCCAAATCGTTTGCTTCACGAAGCAACTGATATCCCTTACAAGCTTCTTCCAATTTTCGTCTTCTAGTTTCGCCCAGAATCAACAATTTTTGATACTGATCTTCAATTTCATTTTGTTTCACACCGATCGATGAAACCTTAAATTCAATATATGGAATGGTAGGAAAAAAGTAAAAAAAAAATATAGAGCATTAGTAATAAATAAACAAAAATGATAAACGCGTATTATTCGTAATGTGTGAAACATAAAATTTAAGTGAATCCTTACCTGCTGTGATTGCCGCTGAGCTGCACCAGGTTCGACTTTTTTTACGTAAGCAGCAGGGACGAAACCTTGCCGATCGTTTACTTCCACTTTCCACCAATCCTGAATGGACAAGATGTTTTTTTCATTATAATTTAACACTGTAATATTTAAATTTGATGACCAAAATGATCATATTAATTAAAAATAGTTGGCATTAGCACATTTATTATTATTATATTATTAATTAAATATTATTTATAAAGATTCACTTTATTAGATGAATTGAGAAGAGTAAGGATATCTCCTTTTTTGATTGAAACCTCTCTCGGGGATTTTTCAGTGTAGTCATAAAGAGCCATAACACATTCTCGTCCCAACTGCCCACCTGGCTGCTCCTGGTACCGACACTGACTAGCTTGTTTTCTCAGTTCCTGAAGGATGAAAAAAAGATAATTTTTTTGGAACAAAGTAGCATTTTCAAGTACCAAAATAAAGTTAATTAAGTTAATTACCAACTACCTTAATAATCATCTTAAAATATCTATGAAAAATTAAAATCAGCTATATTTGTTTCAGTGAATTCTTTCGATAACGTTTTTCTGAATCAAAATTTGGTCAAACACTAATATCGAATTTAATAATTCAATATGAATCATCGTCTGCATACATCAATTGTTGATTTGAACGCTTCTAAATCGGACATTAAGGCACGATGTTTCTTAAGAAGTGATTCAGCGCTATCTTCATCTTTTCCATAATCCGTACTACCTACAACGGGTTCTTTTTCTCGCATCGAAGATTCCGCTTCATTTGCATCTGCTAAATACTGATGCGCCTAAAAAAAATTGAGAGATATTTCTAAATTACGAAAAGAAAATTTAATAAAAGAAATACAGAATTCAAACCAACATTTGACATCATTTTATTCAATTTTCTTTCGCATAATACTTTAATTTATTCAATAAAATAAATTACACTAGTTTATAAGAATTATAAAAATTTAATTTAAAAAATTAACATTTAAAAATTTGAAAATTTAAAAATTTATACGAATTTTTTACCTGTAGCGAATCATCCAGTTCCTGTCGTCGCTTTTCAGCTTTTGCTTTTAAGTTTCGCCAGTTATCGCGTAATTGTGCTAATTTGTCACGAATATCTGGTGCAAGAAAATGTCCTTGACTAATCATCTGTTCTGCAGATGCTGATACAGCATCAATCTGTGGTTCATGATTGGCTATTTCAGCAATCAGTGCTTGCTGTTTTTTGATAAGATTCTGAACTCCTATTAAATCGCGTCCTGCAACACCTCTAATTTCTTCTATTCCTATTACAAATGATAATGAACAAATTTTGTCAAAAAAAGAAAACGACACCTCTGTTAGTACTAGCTGCAACTTGTTCTTTCTCACGTATCCATGCAAGTTCATCATCGATGTCTCGAAACAGTTGGTTTCCTTTTAAGGATTCAGCGAGTTTATTTTTTCGTTTATTAAGAGGATCAAGTAGATTTTCATAACTGAAAACAGTAAAAAAATAAAAATGCAATAAATGCAATAAATTAAAAGATTAAAAAATAAAAAAGGATTTTAAAAAAAATTTGTGCAAATATTCCAACTGGCGCAAAAAAACCAACCGCGAATGAAGAGTTTCTTGTTTCCTTAGAATCATTGGGGCATCGAAATGTCCACTGTCATAAAAAGTTTTGGCTTGTTGCTTGATAGCATCGATACGATCTTGATGTGCATTATAGTCGCTTTCGAGAAGACCCAGTTTCTTTTGCAAATTCTGAACAGATATAAGATCTTTACCGAAATCTTCAGAAGCAACCTGACCTTCTAATTCACTTAACCACAGCTCAACATCCTCCACATTTCTGCAAATATTAATGATTTCGCATAGTTTAAAGAGAAATTTTGGACTGAAAAATGTCAAATGGAAATGCTGAATTAATTTCTTAGATTTCAAAAAATTTTATCAACACAAAATCAATGGAAAATAAAATTTTATGATAAAAATTTAAAAAACCTATTGAATTGTTGTTGGTCACCAGCTTCCTTTAATTTTGCACCCTTTTTTGCCGTTGCATCAACCAACTCGTCCCACATTCCATCAACTTCACCAAGCCGCTTACGTATGTGATCAGCTGCATAGTGATTTTTTTCGATTAATGATTGTCCAGTAGTGTTAATTTCATCAAGTCGATTCTTATTCGCTTTCAACTCTTGCTCATAGTTTAAATGCTTTTGTAGTTTTCCGCTGAAATATATTTAATTATTCTTTTAAACGCAATTTTATTTTCGATAAAATTATAAATATTTAAATCGTAACCGAATATTCGTTGGATCAAGATATGAATCGTCTTTGGCTGTTTTAAGTTTCTCCATGATCCAGCTCAAAAGCTCATCACAATCGCGATCAAATTGCTGTAATCTGTACGAATTCTCAAGTTGACGACGACGTTCAGCAGCCTATGAAGAGATGAAAAATGAGATATGCTAATAATTTGAACAATAAAGCAATAAGAAATTGATTCGAGGATGGTTTTAAAAATAACAATATATGACATAGAAAAAATTTTCCAATCACCCTTTGCATCAAGTGTCGTCTACGTTCAAGTAATAAAGCACGACGACGAGAAACATCATCCGCTGCATAATGTTGACCTTGAATCAATTTCGTGGCAAATTCATCCAATGCATTAATTTTTTCTTCCTGAGCAGCCAAAGATTTTTCAAAATCTTCGTGTTTTTTTAGCAAAGATTCAACACTATCGAGACTATCACCAAGGTCATCATTGGCCAAAAATGCTTCTTGTTTCGTCATCCAAGTTTCAGCCTAAATTGAAAACCAATTAATCATAGATAAAAATATTCTGCAAAAAAAAGGATTAAAATAAAATGAAGATTAATATAAAATGACCTGCTCAGTGTCTCGATAAAATAGTTGTAGATCCATACACTGTTCGTACAAAATACGTCTTTCTTCCCATAAAGATAATAAACTAGCTTTTTTCTTCGCCAAGTGACCAAGCTTTTCTCTTACATCATCGGACTGTTCGGAATCTTCATCCAAAAGACGCTGTCCCGCTTCCGCTGTCTGGTTAAAACTATCTTCACGAGCATCAATTTCACCCTGAAAATAAATATCACACATCTTTTTTATATTCTAGCTAGATCAACCAAAATTTCGAAACAAAAATTAAATTGTACTTTTATACATTCATCTAAAAATACAATAAAGAGAAAAAATAAATTATAAATACAATTATAAATTGTAAATACTTTGTGCTCTTGGTGACTTTCCAACAATGCTTCAGCACCAGCAACATCCTTCGCCAATTCATCGGCTGAAATAACTGCCTTCATATCATTGATCCAAGAACTAAGATCACGATAATCAGCTAGAAACCTGAAAAAATTTTATCACTGAAATAAAGCCATGAAAAAATAATCGAAAATAAAATAACTGAATACTGACTGTTATTCATCAGAATATATTTCAAAGCAATCAAATCACCTGTGAAGATTATACGACCGATCAAGCCCGTCTTTCCGTGCTTGAGCTTTTCGTTTCAATGCGGCCCACTGATCTTTTGCCTCATTCATTTTTGCACTGATAGCATCAGCGCGATCAGGATGAACTTGAGCGAGACGATCAGCCTCAATTGCCAATGAATTCATCTAAAAAATAAAGAAAATGAATCTAAAGAATGTCTCATCAGAAAAAAACAAATAGAGAAACAAAGAAAACGTAAAACCTTTGACGTGAAGAACCAATGACTGATTAATCAACAAAAAAGAAAATCAAACCTTGGCATCAAGAGCAGCAAGATCTCTTTCTGTACCTTCATGTTTTCTTTGTAATGCTTGAACATTATTTAAATCACGACCATAATCATCAGTAGATAATGTTGCATCTTTTTCACCAATCCATGCTAAAGTTTCATCAATATCGCGATTAAAGCGCTGAACTTGATGAGCTCCAAAAAGTCCCTCACGTCTGCAAAACAAATCGAAAATTATCCCTCGAGAGAATATTACCCATTTCTAAACCCATTTTAATCAAACATTAACCATTTTTGAGGAATGCTATGGTTATATAAATAAGTTTAAAAAAAAAATTTGTTGCCAAAATTACCGAGTTGCTGCCAACGTATTTAAGCGATGCCAAGCTTCGTTCACTTCTTCTCTCTTGTTATAAATGGTATTTTGTTCAGTGTGACCTTCTTCAATTAATTTATCAGCTGCCTGATTTACCTCTGTTATACGATAATGATGATTGCCTAATTCCTTCAAAAATTCCTCGAATTTCCGTTGAAGAACCTTTAAAAAAACTCGATTAAACCATTTTAAATATAATTTATACACGAAATATTGAGATGATTTAGCATAATATTTGAAGAATTTTAACCTCAACATGTTCAAGATCCATTCCAAAATCTTCCGCAGTGACAAAAGCTTCTTTGTCTCGAATCCAGTATAAAACATCATCACACTGCCGAATGAATTGCAGCAATTTTAATGCTTGTTGCAATTTGATACCTTTATCTTTCAATTTGAAAAACAGCTGATCCCATAAAGCATGTAACTCGTCAAGCCGTTTCTAAAAAAAAAATATAGGAAATAGAGGAAAAAATTATAGATATTCATTCATTCCATTCTTCAAAATTCTCAGTTTTCTTCAATTTTATAGTTTTATAGTTTTTTACATAAAAAAAATAAATGATAAAAAATGAAAATAAGAGAAAAATTTTAAAAAAAGCAAATCACAAAAAAATATAATAAATCATACTCGAATAATTTCAGAAGCAAAATGATCGTGCTGTATCATATCACTACCAGTTTTATCAAGCTGTGCAATCGCATTTGAATGTGCATGAACTTCAGCTTCAAATGCTTCATGTTTTTGAATCTTCGCCTGAAATTTTTTATTTATTTTATTTCATTTATATCAGATATAGAATATAGAATATTGTCTGTCCAAATTAAAAATAATCAAAACACTGACAAAATGTTCAATTTCACAGCGAGAAACTGAAAATTCAAAAGAAGAAAAAATGGGTCATTGATAAATTCTTGTTGAATAAGCGAATAGAACCTCGTGCTAAATCTGAATAATTCTTCTCATTCTAGAAATTTTCACAAATTTTTGACGTTCCACTGTTTCGGTTTTTAGATTAGTTCAGCAGTGCTTATTTGTGTTTTATAATTATCGACTTTTATATAATAAAAATTTTTAAATGTAGGCATTTACGAGCATAATTTTTAATCGTAAATAACAAGACATAACTCCAAAAATAATATTTATAATCATTTCAAATTTCAATCCGAAAAAAGGTTTCACTAACAGATTGAACTAAATTAAGGCTCAAAACTTCGAAGAAAATTCCAAAGGCCAAATTATGCAATAAATATAATAGGAAAAGGTTTATGTGGAGGAAAATTCAATCATACGAATTCTTTATGCATAAAGAAAAATTCACAAATAAGAAAGATCAAAAAAGTCAAACAAATAATTAAGATAATTATAAAACCTGTAGATTTGTAGGATCGCGAAATGATTCTTCGGAGGCCGTCTGTAACTTTTCTAGAATCCATATTTCCAGTTCATCGGCATCACGCTTAAAATACTGAAATTGTCGCGCATCCTCAAGACGATCGCGTTTCGTTTTCGCATAGACTTTAAATTGTGCATAATGACCGAGTACTTCAGAACGACGATTCTTAAAAAATAAAAAATCTTGATAATCAAAATCAATAACAATAAGCGATACCAAAATTTCACTGGGTGATATGATATCACCTCAATTTCTGGTCGTTTAACAGAAACTTAACAGTTTGAAGTTTATTCGAGTAGCTCTTTCTACACTAGATTCCTGTCCTATTCCTCCAACATCTGACAATAGCTCATTTATCGGACAATCTTTTAATAAGACAAATGACGAATTTCGAGCCACATTATTAAAGATATTTGTAAGTGATTATTAAAATTATATAAATTATATTATATTAAATTATTAAAAAATATATAATAGAAAAATATCATTTAAAAAATATCAGAAATAAATATTTATAAAGATTGAATAGATTGATAATATTCCTCTCCATTCCCCTCCCTCCCCCCAAAAAAAAAAAAATTGTTTAGGAAAAACAAAAGAATTAGGATTAAAATATTTTAATTATAATTATTATTATTTTAATTAGAATAATTATGAGAATAAAAACATTTATTTAATAAATATTTAAAATATATAATTAAATATGCTTTAAGAAATAAGCGATAATTAAATGAAAAAATTATCAATAGACCTGAATATCATCAGCTGTTTCCAGAATTTTAATCTCTTGAGGTGGTGGTACCTCGAGGACGGGTTCAGGAGGAGCGGTACTCGATTCAATCATTGGTCGCTTTCTCTCTATAAATTTTATTTGTAAAGATCGACCATAGCCAGCGTCATAGAGAAAAATGAACAATGAAAACAATGATCTTTAAGGGAAGATAATGTCTTAATCTTTCCATTGCAAATCCATTCCGAGGGTCCGAAAGTTCCCTAGGATCCCCATGACACCTCTTCCCTCTTCCCCTCCCCTGCCTTGACGAATTTCCACATCTTCCCTCCCCCAACCTTCCACTCTACCTTTATTATAAAGAAAAACGAGCAAACCGTATGCACGACAAAGAAATTAGATATGCCCTCCAACGGCTCCAGTCCACCAATCGATCGTGTAACGAACGGCTCGTCGGCAGGCTGTGTGGCGCACTATTTCCTCAACCTTCTCGCCGTCTTTCCTCTCTAAATTCTGTGCTTTTCTCGTCCTCTCTATCTTCTTCGATCGTCCGAATCGAATCAATTGCAATCCAATAATTTCGACTTTCTTACTCGAGCTGGAGCTTAAGCTTTACACCTTCTACCAATCTCTTTGGACTTATTTGAATTATATTTAAAATATAAACGGCCCAAACTCGCTGAATAAAAAAATCCGAACACGAGGAAATTTCATGAGACATTTGCATGAGACATTTGAAAACTAAGTGCTGAATTACCACAAATTACTTACAACCTTACTTCGCTGATACCATTAGTCATCATTTTGCTAATAACAATATTTAGACGAATCACCGCCATTGATCACCAAAGCTTTTAGTCCCACGGACTTCGAAATCCAAAATGGCGAAAGTCGGAAAAGCTAACATCACACCCAGGCATCCGAAGGAAATAGGCAGAATCTCGTCATACCTAGCAAAATCCCCTTTATCCATATTTCTCTTCGATTTCCAAGTTTTAATTTTGATATAATTCTTGTTTCATGGAAATAAAAAATTTTATAAAAAAATTTAACTTTTTTGCAATAAAAAATTAGCAAACAATGAAAATTTATTTCCAAATTCAAAATAAACATAATGAAAAAATTTTCAACTGATGATTAATGAACAAATTATTGAACAAATCAAGAATTTTTTTCTGCCCATAAATTATCATTATTAATAATAACGATTAACGATTGGATTTAGCAACTCGTTCAAGTTCGTCTTTCTTTTTGATGGCGTATGAATTTGATGAACCCTTTGCCGCATTAATTAATTCATCGGCTAAACATTCAGCGATCGTTTTGATATTTCTAAAGGCAGCCTCACGTGCACCTGTGCATAAAAGCCAAATTGCCTAAAACAATAGAAAAATATATATTTTTTGGATTTCAAACGCAAGGGCCAATAGCTTTGAAGCATTTTGGGTAGATTTGATTTCAGCATGTAATTTCACAAAATTTTCCCCACGAATTGGCCCATGAACAAATCAGAGAGTCGTTAAATTTCAGAAACACCACCACCAAAATGGGAGTAAGGAGAATATCTAGAAATAATTATTTAATTCAAACTAGAAAATAAAAATGCAATAGAGAAATATAGATAAAGAAATATTCAAAAGAATAAAAGGAGGAGAATAACTGAATTTAGAGAAATATTTTTTTTTACTTGATTAACACGTCTTAACGGTGATACATCTACAGCTTGCCTACGAACAGTACCAGCACGCCCAATACGAGTTGAATCTTCCCTCGGACCACTGTTTATAACTGCGTTGACAAGAACTTGCACTGGATTCTATAATTTTAAAAATAAAGCTATCTTACAATTTTTTACAATTTTCTTCCCAACAAAAATTTGAAAAAAAATTATAATATTAAATAAGTGACAAATTCATATTTCCAAACAAACCTCTCCAGAAAGAAGATGTATTATCTCAAAAGCATGCTTAACAATACGTACAGCCATCAGTTTTTTGCCATTATTACGACCATGCATCATCATTGAAGATACAAGTCGCTCAACAATTGGGCATGTTGCTTTTCGAAAACGTTTTACTTGGTATCGACCAGCACTATGCGGCAGATATTTTGCGTATTTTCCTTTTACTGCTATATAATCCTAGAAAATACAACAACAATACATCTCATAATTTATCTAATCTAAAATAATAAAAGTAATCTAAAATACAGTTAATTCACTATTAAAATTCACTATTCACTATTAACATAGTATCCAACAATGTCACATTTTCATTCATAATCCGTGATTAATAAATTATGTATATTATGAAACTCGAAATAAAATATTCAAACTGGAAATAAAATATTCAAACTTGCTACTTTTATTTGCCAACATATTTAACTATATCCGGAAAAGAATAATTCCTTCCTCTGCAAAAATTTCTTTCTTTTGACTTACTTCCTAATTTTCGTTGAATAACATATTTCTGTACGGTTATTTCCTCTTTCCACCACCAAAGAATAGCTTCGTTCAAACCTTTAAACAACCCACGCGATCTTTCTTAAACCCTTCAAACCATTTACTTCCGTAATACCTTCCTCAGAACCTATTATATTCCACTGGTTTCATACTATGACTAAAAAATTCATTTTCTTAGTCTCCTTAAAAACCAATCATACTGCATCTTGCTCTACCGCATTGAAATCCTTTCTTGCTAGACTTCGTGAAAAAAATTCCCTACAAAATATCCTCTGATATCTCCTCCATAATCTCACAACAATCTGCCATCAAAATTTTTTGGTGCTATTTTAAACCCCTTAAAATTTTAAAACATTCTGCTCCTCTCCTTAATAATTCATTTCCAGTTTGTTTCCTAAAAATCTGGTCAAACCATTTTTGCCACGGCCGCAGCATATTTAAAATTTACTGTCTAAAAATGGAAAGTAGCGGATTTTAAATAAATATTAAGAGACATGTCAGAATTTATGCCATGATTTTCTCCAAATATTTGCAAATATTCGTTAAATGCTATTTCTGTCCATCAAAATCCTACTATTTACCTTCGGGATTTACTCTAAGCACAAAATTCTATTTCACCATAAGCAACATCCTCTGCAATAATCTTTCAAACCCAGCCTTACTTTCATAACGACTTGGTCGGAATTTGTTATAAATCCGAGTGGCTATTGCGCAAATTATCGCCTTCAACACCAGCCCTTTCTTTGTCCCACATAGAAGCCATCAAAAAATATGGTGGTATGGATTCTAATTTCTCATTCTACAATATTTTGTGAAGCCAACTAGACATTTACCACTTACTGATGTGTTATTAACATTAATCGAAATGGTCGATCAAGCTCCGCAGTATAATTTCTGATCGACTTGTCAGATTAGACAAATTTTGCCAAGAAACTGAATTCACTTGACAATAGAAATACAGGTGGGTCAACAATTAGATTTTTGAAAAATAAATTTACTGCTGCCGAGATTATGACAGCATTGAATGACAACAACTTGTTGAGCCACTGCATCTTAAATTCCTTTGTATCATGAACTCCGTAGAATGAACAGAGTTTGAATAAAAAATATAAAAAAAATAAAAATGCCAAAAAAATGTAACGAAATTTTATATATATATATGACGAGCACCTTGCATACGATGGCTCAGTGGGTTGTTGCAAAATCTAGAGCGCCTATGCTGAGGTTCGATTCCCAGCAGAAGTAAATTTGTTCAAAAATCCGGGCGAATCACTTGCATTTCTATTGCCAAGGAACTGCATATTTGTCCAATGCGACAGGCTTGAGAGAACTTAACCAGTAATGGTGAGGATTCTTTTAAAAATGTGTAAATAACTGAGCACTCTTGGCATGATGATATAACGAATGCAGCAAAATATACAACAGCAATATCCAAATACCACCAAAGAATAAAAAATACATGTGCAGAAATGTACTAATAAATGTACTTCTCAAGATGTACAGAAATTCCCAAGTCTAACGATTCTAAAGATTATAACTAACCAGGAAAAATGCGGGTGAGGAGAGGCTTGATGAGTGTCAATGCCACTGTCTTGAAAAAAACTCAAATGATTCAGGAATAGCAAGATGGCACCAAAAAATAAGCTGCTGAATAAAAGCATCAATATACCATTGGAAAAAAACAAACAAAAGAAATCTTTTTACGATGTATAATCGACAGGGCAACAATGAAAAATCCTTCCAATGGATGGAATAAGCTGGAACAAAAGATAAGGCAGTAATCTAATAGCACAAGAACTAAGCATCATGTTCATCGAAGCAGAAATCTACCGTATCAAATAAGATTTAAGTGTGCTAGTGTGATTTAAGAGATTAAGGTACAGATATGCAAGACATTACATAATCAAGTAGCTGGCATGTATACAGGAATATCTGCTTAGTATCTAGTTTAGATCCTTCCAAGACCATATGGGAAAAATCAAAAATTCTTCAAAGAATCATGAATAAAAATAAGGATATAATAATGTGGGACTTCTCCAAACAAGTACTGATCAAACAACCAGATATCGTGGTAGAACCAGAAATCGACACTAATGATGGATATAATACCAAGAAATGAAAGGAAAATTAGAAACATGCAAAAATAAAGACTAAAGTGGTAAAACAGTGGCAGAAGCACTAAGAATGTGACTTCTAAACTGGCAAAATAGATTCAACAGATTCCAGGAAGTTTAGAAATCTTGTATAGAATAGCGCACTGCTAGGAACAACTAAAACATGCACAATCCCCAAGCCTCTGACAGAGGACCCAAAGTTGGGGATAACCAACATCACCCACATAAACATATTTATCCATAAGAGAGTGCAAAGATTTGAATCATACAACGAGGGCTTTTCATTAATAAATTATAGTGAAAAAAAAACAAACCACAAGCGAAATATCGTTCATCTGAATTTCCTCCAATGACCATTTTCCAAATAATTTCACTTCATGAAATTCTGATGCTTTTACTCCGTCGTCACGAATAACATCGATTCGACCAGAACCCCATTCATCGGCCATTTTCACCTAAAATCACTTTTTGCCTTTTAAATTCAAAAAATCTAAAAAAAACCTTGTCAATCGGATTATATAAAAGCACGCAAGTGAAAAAATTTTATCTATGTGAAAAAATTTTAAATCTCAAATCACTTGTGAAAAAGTATTAAAAGGATGTCGAATCAAAAATTGCAACAACATATCATTATATATTAAACTATATTTAAAAATCGATAAATTAAAAATATATTTTTATTAAAAAAATTTCCAAAAGAATATTTTCAGAAAAAGCACAATGTGAGTTTCTTCATTATAAAATAAATTTTATAAAATGAAAAATGTTTCTCGAGCATTTTTTTCAATATTTCTCAAGCATTTTTGCAAAATGCAACTTTTGTAGATTTTCTTTTGAAGATTTTCCTTTTATAGCCACACAATATGAAAAATTTAGAAAAATTTAATAATAAATTTACCAAAAAAAAACTGATACGCCACAAATCCAATGTTTCCTTTCTAAAAATACTTGATTAACCAGTACAAATACAAGATGAAACCACCCTAAACTTGTTCAACATTTTTCTAAAATTCTCATCTTCCTTAATCTACCAATCGAGTCTATTACCACAACCCCACTCCCTCCAAAAAAAATCACCCCCTTCCCTCTTCTACCACAACAATAAATAGGAACAAAAGGAGTGAGCCCAATTATTTTCGTTTTAAGATAAATTTTTTTAAGTAATTAAAACGTTGCAGCACAACATACCTCAGACTAACTGTTCCTTTTCTGAACAGGTATTGCTGATATTGTTCCTAATTGCTTTTTCAATTCCTATTCTTCTCATATTCCTTCTTCCAAATATTCCTGTCACTTGGTACTATCACCAGTACTCATTTCCGGTTTTTATCTGCTATCACGATAACTGGTTGATTGACCAATACTTTTTTGTCTGTTTGATGATCTCACAGTATTTTGGCCTCTATTAACCACTATTCTCTGAAAAATCTCGTATCTGATCTTAGAATGGTCAGTATATTACCGGAAATTCACCGGAATAGCGTAGCATAATTAAAACGGATGATCTATGAAATGTAACAACAATGGTTCGAATCGTAGCCAATTCCTTCTACCTTTCCGATGGGGTCAAGTGGAGTTCTTCGATTTCCCAGGCCTCTGATAGAGGATTCGAGGTTGAGAATAAGAATCATGGGCACCCAAAAGATAAAAAATGGATTTTTTATTCTCATTTCAGACTCAATTTTGTTATTCTTTATCCTTTGACTCAGAAAAATTACTGTGGAACTGTATGCCTCTAGCTTAGCTTTACGATTTATCGAAACGCACTACAGAATTTCGGAACCTTCGGAACTCGGTTTATTGTTATCCTAAAACGCTTCCTATGGAGCAGATATTTGAAACGGTATATAACCAAATTAAGTTACATAAGCTGTGTTTAGCCATAAAATGGCATGCGGTATTCGAAAAATTAAGCCAAATCTCGACCATTGCGTGAAAAGAACTATGAATAATTTTAATTTTTATTTATATAAACAATAATAACAAAAATAAAATGATATAAAATAAATATTAACTGAAAGTTGGCAATAAAGCGGGAAATATTCAAAGCAAGCATTTTAGTAGAGCTGTACGCGTATAGTAAAGTTGGTTCCATTCATAAAACAACTGATAGAAAGAAGCTCCTACTTACTGCAAAAGTTGGTACCATTCATTAGATTGCTGATAAATCCTCTTCTAAAGGTTTCAAATAAAATATTATGCATTATGCTAAAAGCATATATATAAAACAAAATGGAAATGAATAAGGAATATTAGAAAAATTAGAAAATTTCTATATAAAAGGCTTTTTGGGGTATTGAACAAGCCTATTTTCGAATGGCGAAGGAAGCCATAAATTATGGCGCACCGTCTGCAACGCACCTGCAATATATTCTTTTCCTTCTCCGCGGTATGAGCGCTAAGAATTTGCAAAGAACAAGAGTTACAAATTATCACCGAAAAAATAGAAAGGGAGAGCACTCAAGTAGAGTGAAGGTATAGTAAAAGGTATGCATTTTGAGAAAATGAAAGGTAAAGATTGGAAGAAAACCTTTCCTTCGGCCCATCCTTATTCTTCCACTGTACCTATATAGATTCTCGAGGTGTAAGTTTCCCGCTTTTGGTTACTGGAGAGGGTAGCCCGGAATTAGCATAGGAGAACTCAACTGCCTACGAGATGGCGTAATTCAACGTTAAAAAACCTCTTTGCACTGATGGGGGGAAATTCGAATTTCCAACTGAAGCGAATCTTAACGAGAAATGCATATTTATTTAATTTAAATGAAATTCAAACCTTAGTATAAACCCCCCCCCCCCCCCTTCTTCCCCTTCCCCTTCCGCATTCTCCCTTTTATCAGTTCAAAGCAAATAAGCCGAACGTGACCACTTTTATCAATTGTAAACAGCTAGTGACGTATTTTTGGCAATTAGCCAATCCAATCAACGATCACCACGACGATTATTTGAGAGAGAATTTGAGTATTTGAAGCGGCCGAAGAAAAGGAAGTAAAGTTAGTTGAGTTAGCGATGAAAGTGTTGATTCGACTTCTCTCTCGTAAGTATTCTTTTATATTATTAGGCCTGAATTTTTGGCCCGAAATATGGCCATAAATTTTTGGCCCGAAATATGGCCATAAATTTTTGGCCTATTTTCGTATTTCACTTTTTTTTATAATGCAAATAAATTTAAATTTAAAAAAAATAAAAAATTTCAGCAATTTGACGAAACACATTCAAATTTTGCTAAAATTATTTAATATATATATTTTAATTAGTAATTTATTATTTTATTATTTTATTTTTATTATTATATTATTTTTAAATTATATTAATTTATTATATTATTTTGTTAAAAATTTGTTTAATACAATGAATACAAATAAACTCGAATTTACAAGTCAAATTCCATTAATATATTGTTGTTTTGGAAAAATACCGCATAAAATTCTCCTTATTCTTCTTCCACCGTACTTGTTTTAGACCGCAGAAAATCACTTGCTGATCGAAATACAAGCGGACCGCCATCATCACCCGCATTTTACTTCATTTATAAGTTATTGAATGAGCTAACCTGAACAACTCGGATAACGGCATCTAAGAATGCGTTCTTCTGAAATTTTGACGAAATCTTTATGAAGATATTGCGAAATCACCATAAAAACGATTTTAATACAATGAGCACCAATAGACTCGAAGTTACACGTCGACATTCCACGTCTATATATCGGCGATTCGCATGATCTTGCTATATGGCTACGAGACATGGCCAATGAAAATGGTGGATATAGGGGGAAGCCTTTGACCAATCAGAACCTGGGCTGATACAGCCAGGAATAATTTTTGAACGTATAGATGGGCCAGCAGTATATGGACTTAGACGATGGAAAAAGAAATGGCTTCTATTCTTGTCGACGATGGCATCAGACCGCGCTGCTTGGAAGCGTCTTACCCTTGTAGGCGTTGGAGCCAGCCTAACCAGTAATGGCGAGAGCTGTAGAAGAAGAATGATGAGTTAACTTGAGCAGCGCAAAAATTGTATTAAATTTAATAAAGATATATTTTTTTGAAGAGATTTGTTAGAAGTTTTGGTTTATCGGAGTTGTGCTGGGGATACTTCTAAATCTTCTTTCTTGTGATTCTAAACCTGTTTTATATTTCTGTTTTATATTTCTGGTGGAAGGATAGTTAATGCAGTGCGTTAATAGTTAATATTGGAAGAAAAAATTTTTTAAATTTTTTTCATTATTTTTTATTTTTTGAATTCTTATCCACTATTTTTAAATTTTTTTATCCACTTTTTTTGATTAGTTTTTTTCATTTATTTCTTATTTTTAATTATTTAAATAAATTTCAGTTGTTGTTGGTGTTTGCGTTGCATTCTATGACAATGATTTAGATGTTATTGAATTAACAGATTCAAATTTTAATAGTAAAGTTATTGGTAGTAATGATGTTTGGATTGTTGAATTCTATGCTCCATGGTAATTTCCATCATTTTATTATCACTGATATTTTAGATAAAATTGTCTAATCATTTTCAATCTGTTTATTCTGATTTAAAAAAGAATTAGAAAAATTTTGGAAATTATTTTTTTGAGCATTATTTTTTAAATTAGTACTAAATTAAATTTGATTTTTGAAACACTATTCAAATAATTTTCATTAGAATTAGAATTTTTTTGGTCTTCTCAGGTGTGGTCATTGTCAGAGTTTTGCACAAGAATATAAAAAGGCTGGAAAAATTTTGAAAGGATTCGTAAAAGTCGGCGCTGTTGATGCAACTAAATACAGTTCACTTAGTCAGCGATTTAGCATTCAAGGATTTCCGACTGTGAAAATCTTCGGGTCGAATAAGCAAAAACCTATTGATTTCAATGGTTAGTTGGTTAAAATTTTGATATTTATATTTTAAGTTTTCTGCAAGTGAAAAAATTTTATTTCTATTGTTATTATTTGTTATTGTCACTATTTTATTCAGGAGCCAGAACAGCGCAGGCATTATCGGATGCGTCGATCAGTGAAATTAGGAAAGTGATTAATTCTAGACTGGGAGTCAAGACCGATAGCGGTTCTAGTGGTGGTGGTACTGGAGGTGGTGCAAATAAAGTCATCGAGTTAACTGACAGCAATTTTGATGATTTGGTACTGAACAGTAAAGATATATGGCTAGTTGAATTCTTTGCACCATGGTGTGGACATTGTAAAAATTTAGAACCACATTGGCGACAAGCAGCCGCAGAATTAGATGGAAAAGTGAAAGTAAGTTGCCTATTTACTTGAAATTTTGTTTATTACTATTGTTGTTACTAAATTCACACTATGTTACGTTCTGAATTGCAAATTTATTTGCATATTTGCAGCTTGGTGCCTTGGATGCCACAGTGCACAATGTTATGGCTAGTCGATATGGCATTAAAGGATTCCCTACGATTAAGTATTTTGCACCAGGATCCAGTGCAAGCGATGCTGAAGACTATAACGGTGGACGAAGTGCATCAGATATTGTTCAATGGGCGCTAGAAAAAGTATTTTGAATCTGATTTATTCATATATTTTCTCTTAATTTGTTCGTTATTGCTATTATCCACTCTCATTTATTTTCATTCTGACCGTTAAGGCGGCTGAAAACCGACCTGCTCCAGAAGTTCTTGAAGGGATTGCTCAAACTGTTTTTGATGATGCTTGCAAGGAAAAACAGCTTTGTATCATTGCCGTATTACCAGATATTTTGGATTGTCAGAGTAAATGTAGAAATGATTATATTCAAGTATGGAAGCTTTTTTACTAAAATTTTTAAGATTATTAGGATTTCTATATTCCATTGTGAACGAACCTTAATGGTAGCTTTTATGCTATAGTTTCATTTTATTTTAGAATTTTAATCTCTCTTTATCTCTCTTACTATGAAATATTTGAAATTGCAGGTTTTGAAAGATTTATCAGAAAAGTTCAAGAAAAATTTGTGGGGCTGGGTTTGGGTTGAAGCTACAAAACAACCTGAATTAGAAGAAGCTTTTGGCATGGGAGGCTTTGGCTACCCTGCAATGGTCGCTGTTAACTACAGAAAAATGAAATTCTCCATGCTAAAGGTTTATTTTATTTTTATTATTATTTTTTTGAATGGAAAAACATTTTTTTCTTAATTTGTTAATGGAATGGGTGAATTTTTTAGGGTTCATTTGGAAAAACGGGTATTCATGAATTTCTTCGTGATTTGTCATATGGCAAAGGACAAACAGCTCCGGTTAAAGGTGCGGAATTTCCAAAGATAAGGAAAATACAACCTTGGGATGGCAAAGATGGTGAAATGCCTGTTATGGAAGATATCGATTTGTCTGATGTCGATCTCGGCGATCATAAAACGGAGTTGTGAGTCAAAATTTCTGACGCTAAGTATTTCTTTGTATATTTACTGCTGGCTTTGCCAGAGTAAATTTTAGTGAAATTTGAAATTTGTAAAATTTGTTCACCAGGTTTTTTGTGATTAACTTCAAATATAAAATGCATAGTATAAAAAAAAAAAAGAAATCAGTTTACATCTAGAATGAAACGTAAAGGAGCATTATTGATTTTAGGCTTTTTGAAAATTTCCTTTCTTCATTTATCCTCCCTTACCTCTCCTTTTCACACACATTATAAGAGGCTAAAATTTGCACCATTTTAAATCTCCTTGTTCAATCTTTGTCAGTTGCCCAAGCATAATTATTCAAATTTTTCCGTATCATTTATTATAGTTTTATTATAATTTATTGATGAGATATATACTGTTGTTCAAACATTTTTTTTTGTTTGAATTGTTGTTTTTAATGTAAATGAGGTAATAAATATGAAAACAAAGCAGTGTCTTTCGTGACAGAATGGAGCATTTGAAAGAGTCATAAGGTATGTCATAAGGTATTGTAAGTGTTGAAGGAGCACCATAAATTATTACTGAGAACGAAATAATGCGCACTGAGCAGGAATACGAAAGAGTTGGTAATGAAAGCGTTAAAAAGTATATAAATATATATATATATAGAACGAATAATATAAATGTACCGCTTGCCATGTAAATTTTATTTTATTCATCTCCTTTGAACGTAAGATGAGAGATGAGACGCCACACGACTAGAATTCTTACTCTCAAACTGTTATGTCTTTTCCGCTTTTTTTAAACTTCAGTTCGAAAGAATAAAAAAAAGCATTAAACTTTATAAAACTGCCATATATTTATTGTCGCTAATATGTCGATTTATAATCGCGCCGTCGCTATTTTGTCGTTCCATTTAAGCGACATTTTATTCATAAAGTTTCAATGATTTATTCATTATTAGATGCTTTGCTGTACCATACGAATGCACAACACGGAATTTATTAACCTCTAATATAGTATTTAACAATCTCATTAACTTTAAGCTACGATGAAAAAATGCCTGGAAATAGATTTTTGACGAAAAATTTACTAAAAAATATTGGCCAACAGGAGAGAATATTAGGTAAGTTAGTGTAAAATTTAGTGCGAATGCTGAAAGGTGTTAGAGTAATGTTTGGCCAAAAATATTAATTAGCTAAAAAGGCCATAGATACTATAGAAAAAAAGAAATAGCGTAATAAAAAATAAGTGTCAGGATAACGTTATGCAAAAAATAGTAGCTAGAAAGAGAGATCGTTAGGAGAGTTGGAATAAAAAAGAGGATGGATGCTAGAAAGTTTTAGAGTAATGTTTAACCTTTCTAAGGAAGTTTATTGGAAATACTTTTTATATATATTATCTGACAAATGAGATAAATTTGAGATTGTTAAATATCGGAGATATTAGTAGATAAATTTAAAAATTGCGAAGCAATTAAAACACTCAAATATATAATTAAAATAAAAAAACAAAAAGAAAAATAAAAATATTTTTCGCGCAAAATAAATTTAAATTAATTTTGCTGTTGACGCTCCTTCTTACTTTAGCCATTTTATCTTTAAGAATCTCATTAACCTTTACATACTCATTTTTATTTTAACCTTTCTAATAGTCTCATAAGTTGTTACTCTAACCTATCTGACGGTCTCTTTTGCTAGCCAATATTTTTGGCCAAATGTTGCCCTAACACGTTTTCACGTTTTGCTTTCACGTTTTTTTCCTTACCTAAGCATTTATTTTTTTTTTTTTGTTGATTGAATATACACCGATATTTTCTTCGCAATTTTATTTTATTGTTATTAATTTCCTATTTGTTGGTAGATTAGTTTAGTAGATTAGATTAGATTAGTTTATTTTCGAGCAACATTCATTGGTTCGACTGAACGTAGTAACAGCGTTGCCTTCCAAAAATTGGAGTGGTGCTTAATGATGCATATATGATATTTCTTAAGTGATTTCTTTTCAAAAATTTGTCTGACATAGCGAAGCAAGGCAAATTCGGGAATGGGTGCTTATAGCATTCATATTTCGAATTTTCTTAAAAATCATTAATGATTCAAGATTATATCTGATTGTTCATTATTGTGGACTATTTGTTAAAATCGGATTATTTTTCCTCAAAGTAAACTCCTTAGTATTTTGGAAATTTTATAATATTCCAAAGCTTCTCACCTTATAGTTTTATTCTCTACTTAATACGTCCAAAGGTGGACCAATCAAGGTTTGGACTGATATGGTCAGAAAAGATTAGATGGAGCAACAATTTATGAATTTCATCGATGGAAAAAAGAGTTGTTTCCATTACTGTCAACGATGGCATCAGATCGCGCAACTTTAAAATATTTTGCTAGTGCAGCCAGCCTTACCAGTAGGTGAGAACTAGTAGAAGAAGAAAAGAAGATATTTACAAAATATCGCAACCAGCGAAGACCAGTTGAACGATGACTTC